GAGTTAAAAGAGCCACACTATAATAAATTTCATCACGTAACAACAGACAGTCTCTTTACCAGTCCAAAACTCACTCACGACCTACTTGGCAATGGCACTTACTCCACCGGAACAGTCATTGCCGGCAGAAAGGGAATGCCGTTGAGTTTCAAAACCTTAAAAACCCCTAAAGGAACTGTCAAGGCTAAGAAACAGGGAAATATACTAGCAATTCATTGGTCTGATCGTCGACAGGTGCGATTTCTTACATCGTCTGATCATTGCAGGTTTGTTATTTTCATATAAGCTATGTTCAGATAAGCTGCCTAAGGACCTTTAAATATATGATTTAAGATTTTTTTAATTTTTGTAATTTGATGTAAAGAGTTTTCAGATCATAGTAATGATGATGATAATAGTGATAAAAACAACAACAACAATAACAATAACAATAAAAATGATGATGATGATGATGATGATGATGATGATGATGATGATGATTTTCTGTTGTAGCAAATATAGTTTAACTTTGTAATTTGAAAGTAAAGTTATATTCTATCATGATTATTTTTATTGCAAGGTTGGAAACTGCTTTAAATTCTAAGGGAAAGGAATAGGTCGCTCCGGGAGTTGTGCACACTTACAATGAAAACATGGGGGGGAGTAGATTTAGGAGATCAACTATATCAGTTTATGATCCAGACATACGTTCAGTGAAACTATGGAAAAAGATTCTTGTTAATCTTTTATTGACTGCATGTGGTTAGTATTTTAGTAATTAGAATACTATTTTTTGATAATCAAAGGTACCATCTAACAAGAAAAAAAGGAATGGGAATTATTTGTCGTTCATATATATACGTATACAAAGTGATTCAGATAATCAATATTCAATGAATGTACGTCTACCTACTGCGTCTGTCCGAAATTCCGAATGATCCTTCCGGTAGAAAACCAACGTCCGTCGTATTAGCAAACATTTCAACATACATATGCTATTATATCCGTTATCATTATCATTAAAGTAGTATCTTAAGCTGAATTTAGGATGTCAAAAATATAACGTACACTGATGTATAAGATTTTTACGCATAAAAATTTGACAACTAAAATACATATAATGTACGAAGTACAAAATTATTTTTTGCGTATAAAGACTAAATATCACTGCACGGCAGTCACACAATAACGTAATCGCTGAAACGAATTTGGACGTGATTTCACAATTAACTCTAAATTATGCAATTAATATTTCCAAATAATTTTTGATTCAAAAACTATATTATTTAACTATTTTATTTTATTCCTGCTTACAGTGAATGCATATATTTGCCACAAGAGATCATTCCTCTTGGGGAAAAAGTCAACCCATCTCCAGTTCCAACAGGACATTGTGACCGGCTTAGTTGGGGAATATAAAATTCAGAGTCGAGTTTTTGGTAGGAATGGACAAGAAATGGGTCATAGAGCAACATCAGAGCATTTCATGTATGAAATCCCTCGAGGAAAGAGGAGGAAATGTGTTTCCTGTCACAATAGGAAGGTTCGAACTTGGTGCAAACAGTGCAGAGAAGGTCTCTGTCTTGGAAAGTGTTTCAAAGATTATCACAAACACAAGCAACGTGAACACGAAGAGTAAAATAAACTTGTGGAATTCTTTTAACAGTGTTTAGTTTGCAGTATTACTAGATGTTTACGTAACGATGGGTTACGATTTGTGAAGTGAACTGCATGTCATTGAACCAAATTAAAAATTGGAAAAATGTATGATTTTTTTCTGTTGACCAAATAAAGATACACGTATACACATTTACTGTAATTTGATACGAAAAAAGACAGCTACACGCACCCTTCTCAAAATCATGACATAAGAAAGATCAGTTGTATAGGTCTCAAATAATTTATTTAACGCTTTCGTAAGTGAACAGAATAACTGGAATAATAATCTTGTGGTTGCATTACGTTTTCTTCTTAGCACTGCAAAGTGCTTGACGTTATTTAATTGAAAAGCGCCAAACTTGCTGAAGACGTGACGTTTTTACCTTGTGACGTTATATGATGTCATATTAGGAACGTTACTTTTCAAAATAATAACGTGCTTACTGTATATCTAGTTATGTCCCTAATTATTCATTTTAGAATACAAGATTTTACAACAATTCACTGAACATGTTATTTGGTACTGAAATTGTGCCGTTTCTGGACAGTGTTTTGTAAAATCGGCCCGCACTAAGAGGGTTAAACAGCCCCTTTCTTCATCAGTAACACCATCTACGTAAATTCCAACTGTAATACGGAGAACTCAATTTATGTATTTAAGAAATAATTCATGGGTGCTTGAATATATCGTGATTTTACCACGGGTTGGCCCTTTATGACAAATATTTTACCCTGAGCGATAGCGAGGGGTAAAATATCGGCATAAAGAGACAACCCGTGGTAAAATCACGATATATTCAAGCCCCCATGAATTATTTCGATTCTAATAGGACAAATACGGCAATTGTTTTGGATCGAAGCTCTCTAGATAAAGGCATTATTTGCCGTTCCCATAAATAAACGCACTATTAAATTGACGTAAAAGACCGGAGCAAACTGAATAAATGACATGCATAACCTATTTACAATAACATATTTAGATAGGTTTGGATGAATCTAAAGGATAATTGTACTTATTACATTGGTAGCATTGAATTACATTGATTTCCCAGTCAAATAAAAACCGATAATTTCACATGTGAAATAAACGTGGTTATTTCACTCTCTGACGTCATACAACAATAGGCGTTGTCAAGACGTCGATAACGTCGGATCAAAACAAATTGTGAATGCGTAGAAAAAAGATATAGTTCCTTACATTTTCTACATTAATTTCATTAAAAAAAGCCATTTGCCAATGTAATAAAAAGAATAACTAATCAAAGAATTCAAATATCGAAAAATATTCAACTCGTGACCGAACAACACTGATAATTAACTCATGCGCTACGCGCATTCGTGAATTACTGTGTTGTTCGGTCACTCGTTGAATATTTTTCTCTATTTGAATTCTTCGATTAGTTATTCTATAATTATATAGATATAAGAAGATGTGGTATGAGTGCCAATGAGACAACTCTCCATCCAAGTCAAAATTTATAAATTTATATGTCTTATATGTATACAAAAAATGGCTTATATAACACATTTTTGCATCGTTTGTTTACGTTTCCTTGTTGTGATGATTTTCGGTTTCACAAGCGTGTATTTCCCCGTAAAATGCTTATATTCTTACGTCATCGTTCTATGACGTCGGGTAGCTCATTCATAAAAAAGCATATGACGCGGGAGTACGATTGGAACAGCCCAAACAATATATTCATATTTTACCACGGGTGTGTACTCAAAGCGTTTGAAGAACGTCATGTTAGAATTAAGAAATAATTCATGGGGGCTTGAATATATCGTGATTTTACCACGGGTTGGCCCTTTATGACAAATATTTTACCCTGAGCGATAGCGAGGGGTAAAATATCGGCATAAAGGGACGGGTAAAATATTTGTCATAAAGGGCCAACCCATGGTAAAATCACGATATATTCAAGCCCCCATGAATTATTTCGATTCTAATAGGACAAATACGGCAATTGTTTTGGATCGAAGCGCTCTAGGTGAAGGCATTATTTGCCGTTCCCATAAATAAACGCACTATTAAATTGACGTAAAAGAACGGAGCAAACTGAATAAATGACATGCTTAAACTATCTACAATGACATATTTAGATAGGTTTGGATGAATCTAAATGATAATTGTATTTATATGTCTTATATGTAAACAAAAAATGGCTTATATAACACATTATAGCATCGTTTGTTTACGTTTCCTTGTTGTGATGATTTTCGGTTTCACAAGCGTGTATTTTCTCGTAAAATGCCTATATGCTTACGTCATCGTTCTATGACGTCGGGTAGCTCATTCATAAAAAAGCATATGACGCGGAAGTACGATTGGAACAGCCCAAACAATATATTCATATTTTACCACGGGTGTGTACTCAAAGCGTTTGAAGAACGTCATGTTAGAATAACATGTAACACCTGTGGCATTAAGTAAGTGGGAGAAACAATGGACAAATTTAAAATTTGGCGGTATAACCATCGATTATGATACAAAACCAACAATAACTGTCCCCTCAAAAGACATCTTCGCTCAAACAAACACCCTTTTCATAATGTTACTTTTCAAATTATAGAAGTGAACATTGAGTGGTACACCACGACGAGAAGGAGAAGGGAAAACTTTTGGATCCACCAGCCTTATACTATAGAATCTGATGGTATCAATGAAAAAGACGAGAAAAGGTACAGGAAAGGTAAAGAATAAGTTTAGTATGTGGCATCGTCCTAATTAACATCTGTGTTGTATCATTATAAGTTTTCATCACCACACATGTAAGTTTTCATTCAAAATGTTTTTTTTTCTATGTATGGAGCCTTACAAATAAAAAATAAAAATAGCCTTTGAATTTTCTAATTCATTGTTTCCATATGCAGTGAAAGGACAAGGAGTTTCCGAGAATATTCTAAGGAAAACTTTATTTAGTTTGATAGCTCTAAAAATAAAAAAAGATGTGGTATGATTGCCAATGAGACAACTCTCCACAAGAGACCAAATGACATAGAAATTAACAACTATAGGTCACCGTACGGCCTTCAACAATGAGCAAAGCCCATACCGCACAGTCAGCTATAAAAGGCCCCGAAATGACAATGTAAAACAATTCAAACGAGAAAACTAACGGCCTAATTTATGTACAAAAAATGAACGAAAAACAAATATGTAACACATAAACAAACGACAACCACTGAATTACAGGCTCCTGACTTGGGACAGGCACATGCATACAGAATGTGGCGGGGTTAAACATACACTCAATTACACTTTACATTGAAAATAACATCGGTTCGAGTGAAAGCAGTTTCAGTTGCTGATCATTTTATTATTGAAATATTTTTTTCGTTCTTCTATAAAGAAAACATACCTCCTATTTGTTCTTCTGTTAAGCCCTCAGCCTGTAAATTATACTAATTGATATACATACTATACAATAAAATAAAAAAAATGTAATATAATGTTAAGTCGTAAAGAATAGTTACCAATTCAGGTATTCGAATATCGAGAACAAAAATTAAAAAGGTAAAAGGGTGTTTTTCGGTCACTCGTTGTATATTTTCGACATTCGAATTTTTAAATTAGTCATTCAAAAAATCTGTATGTTCAGATTTTCTTATGAGACCAAGCTACAGCAACATTGCAGCCTATCCGATGATTGCATGAGATATACCATACATATCACCACAGTGACGGTGTCAATTTAGAAATAGTAAACGTATATAATTTAAATGCCCGTATGAATAAGTCTATGTTCAGATGAAAGTTAAATTAAACAGTGGAGTATGGTATAAACATTTAAAGACTTTCAATAAGTGATACATATACTTATGTTCTACTTCTCCATTAAATAAACTGAAAACTTTCAACATTTATATAATGTATTAGTTCGTCATGATATAAATAATATTTTAAGCAGTTTTGTTAAAATTTAAAATTGATTTTGTGTATTTGGCAGTTATTTCTAAGTCCCTTGACTAAATACATGTAACCACCATTACCCTTCGTATTCATTGTGCCTTACTCGGCTTTTGGTCCTATGTTTTCCAAATCACTATAAATCGTCCTTTGGCTATATAACCACCCTTATCCTATTTATATATTTTGCCTTACTCACCTTTTTGTCCTTTAGGTTCTTAATGACTATAAATCCAGAAATATGCAGCAATCAGAACAATAATTACACTTTTTTACTTTGATACTTATCATCAGCTACTGATATAATTTTCACTTTTTTGACCGACCTACTTTAATTTATAGTAAATACAGCGTTTGCCAGACTGCGATAATTTTTTTTTTACAAAAAACATACTGTAAGACAATCCATATATAATTTAGTTTATGTCTTTGTACATACAGCGTTGTAAGATTTTATGAATTTTCTTTAGAAAATTTTCATTTCGTGCCCTTATGATTTTTATAGTTTTGTTTCAACTTTAAATTGCAACTTTATGCATACGTATATATCTCATATGAATTTGACTATCAATCAAATATATAGATGAATATCAAAGTAACTAGTAACTGCATACATTTAACCTATGTTATTTTCCCTACAGTTGAGACTATATAGTACCTGTTTCACTTGATAATTTCATTAAAGTTACATGCAAATCTGTCTGTTTCGAGGCGAAAACATATATTTCGGTTTTGCTGTAATTTTGGTATCTCTTGCTCTCTGGTATACTCTTTTTCGGTGGTGTGTTTCGTTAATATCTATGAAACTGGTATTATAGCTAGATTATTTCAAGCTTGTAAAACAGATGGTATGATCGGATATCCGACCGCAGACATGTGTGTCTGGAATAACTTTTATCAAATTCCCTTGAGACCAAAGATGGCAAAGCCACAATATAAAACAATTGAGAGCATGGAAACTAAAAGAATCCCTTGAGACCAAAGATTGGAAAGCCACAATATAAAACAAGTTAGAACCTTAATAGTTCATTTAAAGACTTCTGGTCAATTTTGCCTGAGGTAGTTGTAACCTTAATTTACGAACTTGAAATTAAGCGACAAAAAAATACCATTTTAATTATGCCACTTCCGGGACACTGGCTACTTGGCCAACAGCAGCAGTGGCCAAAACCCAAATGATACGATTAATGTCGTTTTGGAAAGTCCAATGCCACCCGATATATACATTTGTAATCATGTAAGACAGCTAATTAGTCAATTAACAGAGGATAAATAGGAATAACATGTAACACAGATTAACCTCAATATTTTATTGAATAAAATATTGAATCTGAATCTAAATCTGTAACACATAAAGAGCAGTTCCCTGCAATTAGTAACAGTAAAACATAATTAAACACAGATAACAAATTTAACATTCCCTAGGAACTAAGTTCCCGCATAAGCACAATTACCTCTTTTGACCAAAGTTGCTACAAATTTAGAAAATAAAATATTCGGTTAGCAGGATTTCAAAGTAGAATCTTATATTTCTGGCAAAAGAACCCATTCGAAATGAGGTTCTTTTTCAAATTCCTGAAACAATAACAAATTCAATCTACTTTAATGTAAATTGAATCAAGAATGGAAAACTGTATTAATACAAAATCATAATACTTGCCATTGTTTAACTACAACTGTCACAAGATCCCGCCTGAAGAAAGTGTATTCACTGTTTCCACGCATGTCACAAGGATAATTAATATAAGTTGTAGTATACATACAGTTTCTGTTCAGTGCTGAAATTTAACACTTTAAAAATCTAATTTAAATGGACATAATACATCTAATGCATACCGAACTGAAATTTTGAATTAAAATTCAATCCATACTCAATAAAATTTATTTGGGTTGTATTTGATTTAAAAAAAATATTTTCTAAGTGAACAAATTAGGCGTTAAAATTTAAAGGTTTCACGTTTCACTTAGTTGTTGTCATACTCTGAATGGGGTAGTTTTGTTTGATTTTTTTCACTTTGCATGTTTATAAAACGACAACAATGGGAATTGACGTAATTACTTACTGTGTATTCAAAATATTAAACGGAAGAATGGGTCACACTTGGATGTTCAAATGATAATCTCATACGAAAATATAAATAATATAAAGAATAACCCATACTTATACAATTATATTTTTCTAAACAGAAAACACATGTAAAATATAAGTATTTAGTGTGTGGCCACATTGCTGGATGGAACATACCTTTTAATAAGATATATCTAGTTGTTAATAGATATAGGAAGATGTGGTATGAGTGCCAATGAGACAACTCTCCATCCAAGTTACAATTTATAAAAGTAAACCATTATAGGTCAAGGTACGGCCTTCAACACGGAGCATTGGCTCACACCGAACAGCAAGCTATAAAGAGCCCCAAAAAATTACTAGTGTAAAACCATTCAAACGGAAAAACCAACGGTCTAATCTATATAAAAACGAGAAACGAGAAACACGTATGAACTACATAAACAGACGACAACTACTGTAATCAGATTCCTTACTTAGGACAGGTGCAAATATTTGCAGCGGGATTAAACGTTTTAATGGTACCAAACCTTCTCCCTTTTCTGAACCAATAGTATAACATCACAACATAGAAAAACACACTATAAAATATCAATTGGAAGGCTTAACTCAATCAAAAAAGGTAAATTAACACACAATGAACGAATAAATTTGACCTGTGACACCTGAATGCAAATACACAGTTAATAAAAAATTACAAGGGATTAATAATTAAAGTCAAAAGTAAATAAATAGGTTTAAACAAAGTTAAAGTATGATATCACTGTGAAATTTCAAACAATTTATAGAAGATCATCACTTTTGAAGAAACCTGCGTCATATTATACACAGGTGAATGAAAATAATTTTGTTGTTAAGTATACTTCTTCTTCTGTGTGTATAAAATCTTCCGTTTAGGAATACCAAGAAATTTCTTTAATATCATTAAAACTAATCTAACACTTGGTACAGATGGGGTGAATATCAACAATAAAAATATACAATTAGTGCTAGATAAAACTTCCTGTACAGGTCCAAGAACAGCATCTAAGGAAAAATGAAATAATTTTGATGTTCATAGTACGAAGAAGTGAAAATTTGTAGTAATTAAATACCAAAATACCAAATAATCAAAGCTGGCATATAGACAAGATCCATGTTAACATTAAATAACAAAAACGCATTACAAATAGTATCAACAGGTCAAATTAAAAAGAAAGTACGATTTGAGAGTACTCGCAGTTACTGACAGCTAGTTAAAAGCCAAAACAATTAATAATAAAAAATCATGCATCAGAGACTAAAATCAACTAAAATACATCCCAGGGATTTAGTATTTTAACGTCATGAACAGTCAAAGAAGACATGACTTGTGCAATGCCAAAAATAAATGTATCGACAGGTAGTAGGATAGTTAGGAGTGACTTCTTTATAGATACAATGAACGTGTGTGTGTCTCTATACATCCCGTTTGAAAAGAAAATACAAATTTAGTTATGTTTTAATTTGCTAATGACAAAATCGATATTAGTGCCAATGTAAACTATATTCAGAGATCTAATTACAACATTGGTACGATAACCCTTACTAATAAGTTTGTTTAAAGATTCGATGAGTTTACGCGGATCACATAATGATTTCCGCGCTTTAAGTACAATATTACCATAAAATTTGGAATGTGAAATACCACTTTTTAATCAGTTTTCTACAGGTGCAGCCAAATTTACTAATCAAATCTTTGTATCTATGAAAGAATTTAGTAAGTTTTAAGTAATTTATGGTAACGAAATCCCTGACTTAATAATTTACCAGTGATGCATTGATTACGTTCGTTAAAATCTGACATCACTTCACACACGGGCATACCGAACGAGTTGGGATATATAAACACCGTATGATGGAGATAAAGGCACATCGCCGTCTAAAAAAGGAAAATTAACAATAGGGAATGAAAAATCGTCTCTTTTGTCGTAAATTTTAGTATGGAGTTTCCCTTTAGAAATTGAAATGTCTAAATCTAGAAAAGGAAACGTTATCCTATTTATCTAATTATTTGTTATCAACTATTCAAATCATATTTTTTTAAATGGTTATTTCAAAATGCACAATGAAAGCGAACTTTTAATCTAATAAAATTTTGAAATGAAATAAAAAATTCTGCATTTTTCGAAAATGAGCTTAAAGTTGAACGATTTTTTTCCATTTTTGTTAGAAATAACAGTCTATACTAGAGACTTGAAGGAGCCTGTATCACTTACCTAGTATTTTTGCATAAAATTGATAAAATGCAAGATGAATATTTCCATTAGTTTCTGACAAAAATGCTAAAAATCATCATTCAAGAGTAACCACTCCTGATGCTTTTTGTCATTAGATCATTTTTGGTGTTTCTCTTTTTCTGTTATATGGTCAGGAAAAACAGAAACATGGGAAACATCGTCTTTCAAGTGCAATAACTCCTATAAGGAGCCAACTTACGATTTAAGCGGTGTTGACTTATTTGTAGAAATTGTCCTGCTGATCTTTTTTGCTAATTTTAGTTTGTATCTACGACAGTTGTGTAAAAAACTAAATATAGGTAAAACTTATATACTAAAACTATATTATTATTATAGGTAAAAACCCATATAAGACGTCGATTGACGATTTCGACCAAGTTCACTATTTAGTAGATATTGTCTTGCTGATCATTAGTTACTTATATAGTTTCCCCTATCTCCTTTAGCTTTCTTTAAAACACAAATACTTACTTGATATTTACAGTATCTTTCTGTCTACTAGAGTTTCCGAACAAAACCCTTACGAAAATTGTTAAAATTGTCATTCAAGTGAAATAACTCAATTTGAAAGTCGTCTGACAATTTTAGCCATGTTGACTTATTAGTAGACATAATTGTGTTGCTTATCATTTTTGCTATTTACAGTTTTTATCAACCTATTCAGGCTTTCCAGATATGCCGAAATCACCAAAAACGGCTAAAAATCCTCAATTAAGGACAATAACTCCTTTAATCAGTCGTTTGACAGTTTGGTCAAAATAGACAGCAGGTAGACAGACATTGTGAACATTTCTGTCCCGTCAGATTTTCCTGATCTTTGACAGTGGTGCAGAAAAATTGGTACCGATAATATATAATACTTGCATTTTACCCCTATGTAACTTAGCCTTGACGGCTGTGTCGATTGATACGCAGATTCATCCGACACATTTTCAAAACTACATACCCAAAGATAATTGTGGTCAAGTTTGACTGTATTTGATAGAGCAGTTTCAGAGGCTGAAACAGTTTTCCTAAAAGCTAACAAAAGACGGACGATAGATGATGAACGCCAAGTGATGAGAAAAACTAGCATGGTCCTTTGGGCAGGTGAGCAAAATATAAGAATTTTTCTCACATAATTACATAAGTTAGCAAAATATATATACTTTGAGTTAAATTTATATTTGGACCACAAGCGAAAGGCATATATAAAAATGCTGTGACTGAATAACTGTTCAGAAATAAAATCCTACTAAAACTTAAAATAAATATTTACCATCATAAATTTGATAATATCCACTCGAAGCTCAATTGACCCGGAAGAGCAAACAAACCAAAAGACCCCATATGCAGCTTCAACCCAAAAGCGATGCATGTGCGCACTTTATCAAAAGGGGTTGAATCGGATAAAACAAAACTACATTTTAATACTGAACATAAAGTTTATATTACAATACATACGTTACCATAAAACATTTAGATAACCGAATTAAGCTTAGTTTTGAATCTTCTCAGAACAAGGAGGACAATGTAATTTCTGCGCTGATCCAACACACCAAGAGGCTATCAGAATGATGTGGCATTGATAGGAGATAATCAGAATAAAATGTTTTGTCAGATCTCATATAACCAGCTGAAAAAAATAGTGGACACTGTCAGACCTCTTATAACCAGCTGCTAAAATACCAGACAGTGTCAGACCTTTTAAAACCAGCTGCATAAAATTTCAAACATATAAGAAAAATTGAAAATAAAAGAAGCTTTCGCTCTAATCTCCAAGCTTTAACTAGATTCCCTGGCTTTCCTGATGAAGATAAACCCAGAAAAGTGCTTCAGACGCACGAAATTTATAAAATGCTATTTTCATATATGATAAGTGTTTACATGGACACATAATGAAAAAAAAAATCTTAAGTGCTTTTAGAGCTACACCTAAATCACAAGGGAAATGACACGCTTTTGTCTAGTTCTTACAACGCAAAGACTGTCAATCCATAAAGACAAGAATTCGTATTCACAAAAATATGGACCTCCTGATAAATGGGTGTTTCAAAATATAGCTGACCATAACCTTTGATGATAGAAGGTGCACGATCTTATCATCAAATAAATACTGAAACATTTTTTCTAACTGCTAATTATAAGCAGTAACTCTATAGAGATAAATTGTCCTACGCAAACACCAAGAAACAGACAATTGTCATAGACAGCACCATTAGGTTGTCTGACTGAAGCACAGATATAGTTTCTACATTTCCTGATGCAGCTTCTTTCCCTTGTGTCGAGACAGAAGGGAAGTAAATGCGGCCGTGTCCAAGACAACTGATCTATGAGAACAATATTGCAGCAATCTTTGCGAATCTTGGCTAATATTCTGTGTAAAGAAGACAAAAAATAGAAAACATGAAGCCGAACATTCCCTTCCATGAAAGAAAATAACAATTACTCCCAATCCCTTCGAACTAATTAGGGATTGTCGAAATGTACGTCTGTAGCGTGTGATTTAGATTTGTGACAAATAGATCTATGTGAAGGCTATTTTACTTCAGAGAAAGAGCTTGACAATCAGATGGATGCAATTCCCATTACGAAGAGACGTAGTCCACATTTCTGTGTGAAGTGACTCTCTGATAAATCTTGTAATGAGGACTACCAAATACGGATTCAATTTTGTATGTATATTACAGGTCTCATTTTCTCGTTTTTCTTTGGAAAAAGAATACTACGGGAATAAAATATTGGTAAAATTTGATAATTCACTCCATATTCGGCCATCTTTTGAACCTACTCTTAAAAGAAATCTTTCCGGATCTCTTGTCATAGACAGATGCAAAGGAAATTGTGATAAAATAGTCAATTCTTGGAACTGGAATTCAAGCCTCTTCAAAGTACTGAAAGAACCCACTTATCATAAGTTATTTCTAACCATTGTTTTAGAAAACTTGCCTCCTCCTTGAATGTGATGAAAAGGAGTTTTGAAAAGCTCCCCTGCCTCTAGAGGCAGTACGTTAAAGGAGCAGGACCATCCCTTAGTCTATTTCTTCCCATTTACCACTTGGGTTTATTTGCCACTTGATGAAGCAGAAGGTTCGCGGTCAGCTGTCCTGTTGCGTTAATCAGAAGATCGACCAGGAGTCTTTTTATGGTAAGCATAAGACAGAGAATATGAGGTGGTAACCTTCCTCACATCATCAGTAACATGTACATCAACCCTTCACAATCTGGGATGCTTTCCTACTTTTTCCTGAAGTTTCCTCGTGTGGAATTAAATCATATACTAAAGTCTTAGAAATAAAAAGAGGACCAAAGTTACATGAGTTCTTGTTTGAATTATTATCTGCAATAGAGTCTGGCATGTAAGCAAGAGCAGAATATAAACATAACTTGATTCAGGAAGAGATTTGTAGCCCTTCGGATCATCCTTAACTTCACCTACGCAAACATGAAGTCTGATGAAGCCAGTATTCAACGAGATGGAGAAAACATCGGAACACATAAATATTCGCGACGTATGTAAAACACACGACTTTTCAAAGCTTCCCTATGACCAACTACAAGATGGTTATCCTGTGTACAGAGATGATCCACCTACTGAAGCAGTTGAATAAACTATGGCAACTGAAGGATGTGACCTTCAGCTCTTGACAAGAGAAGTAGAACTCAGTTCATTTTCTGACAAAAAAATGTCCTCCAGACACATATGAGCCAAGGATAAAGTGTCCTCTTGGTCAGATTTACCATAAGCAGCACCCGTGCACAACAATAATGTCAAATGTCCAAGCCAGCGAGACGCCAATATTTTTGCACTAGCAGACGTTTTACGTTTGGAAAGTATTCCCATTTATCTTTTTCATGTCCTCACTTTAGGTCGACGCTGAGGAACATAAGAACCTTCACTAGTAACCTTTGCCAGAATAAGACAAGATAGTAGGTAAACTTTAAGGGTCAAAGGTTGGGATATCTGACATTTGCGGATAGGAAAAGTTGCAAAGTCACCTAGACCTAGCAAACATACCACTCCTTATACCTGGAGTGCTACTACCATTAAGAACTTAACTTACCTGGCTAACTGTTAAACCACTCATAACTGGAACTGACTCTGCAGGTCTTGTAGAATTTTCGAGTAAGTATAGGACGAGTCAGTCGTAGCTGAAAAAAATGTTTGATAGCTGATTGAAGACTTGTAGAAAAAGTTCCACAGAAATTTCGTCATGCTTAGAAATATCCCATATTTGACATAAATTACAGCTATTGGAAACTGTGTACCCTCCAACAAATTCCTATTCCAGAAATCATCTAAAATTGAGGCGGATCACCAGGGCTCTGAATCAGGAGTCTCTTCTATATCCATAAACAAAAAACTCCGGGGACTCAAATATCAAAGTGTATTCAAGTTGTCCTAAACTTTAGCTTTCCCTTCAATATTCAATATTACAGTCCCATCGCAAGCTCTCCTGGTCACGCTTATCATTAAAAGTGTTGACTCTTTTTTCTTCGTCTTGTGTTTTTTATTTTATTTCACCCTTGGTATTCATCTTTTCTTGCAGGAATACGAAAAACTTGCCAAAACTAGGGTTTAAAATCTTTTCTTTATTCAATGTTATTGAATGGATTATACAAAATGAAGATGATATTATATGTAAAATATGTGTTCAAATACATGTATCTACGTAAGTTCATTTCAATTCTATAAATCTTCAAAGATAATTTATTCGAATTCTAGATTTTCATTATTTGGCAGATGATTGAACATCTCATCTTTTTCTTAATAGTTGACCATTGGGTCTCTATAGTAGTATTGCACAAACTATTCTGTACATTGGAATGTATTGTTTCCTGATCAGAACAGCTATCTAATTGCCAAATAAAGTACTATTGATTTATATACAAAAAAAGACCCTAAATCAAAAAAAAAAAAAAAAAAATTAAAGCAAGAGCGAAACATTATGAAACTAATTGTCACGTATAACGCATAGATAAATATCATGAAACACTGCAAAATAACCAAATCAAGAATTTTAATAATTTATTTTACAAATTTATAGAACTTTAACTGACTAGACCATACTAGCGCGCAATAGAAAATAGAATACAAAACAGATAACAGCCATTTTCACTTAACAGAACACCACTTTTACAACATAACTTTAAATTTTGATGGCTACTCAAGAACCGCTTCCGAAATATAAGTCAATACAAAAAAGGAAAAACAGTTAATGTTGATGTTATCAAGTTTAAAAAATATGAGAATCACGGACGTCTTTGCCAAATAATTTTTTTTTTGCTAGAATGATCATTAGAAATGGAATTATCGTGTCATACAATTTAAAATAAGTTATACAAATGAATGCCTTTTCAATTCAATTTCACATGACATATTTGTAGCCATGTACATCCTGGCTTTCATTTAAAAATATACAATGAATTTCCTTTTACATTAGTGCCCTGCATGTTAACTAAAACTAGTTGACTTAGAATATATCTAACAGAATAGTCTGGCACGTATTTTGCATGAATCAATGTAATTAATATAGAAACTCGTCTCAATTGTGTTGTAAATCTAACTAAAACTGTTTCCTATTCAGTGTGCAATTCGATTTCAAAACTATAACTATCAGCAGTAGAAAAATGACGTCTTCCGTTTCCGCTTTCATTTATTACTCTGTTGTTGATGTTTTTCTCCCATCATCATTGAAACAAACTCTGTAATTAAGTAAGAAATTATATTTAACATCATTTGAAGACAGGTTGTTTTTATTCAATTTAAAAAAAAGTATTATCATGAGAAAAGTAATCATTGTTTTTTCTTGATTTAAATAAATTGCATTTCTAAAACAAATTTACTAATTTCTATAAAAAAAATCGAGACCTACCATTTGTAATAAAATAACTAATTCAGACCACTGATCTACCTTAACTGAAGTGTTATAAGAGATAGAGCTTAATTTATGTATTTTACCTTCGTAATTAACCTGGCCGTCTCCATCGATGTCAGCTTCTTCAATCATTTCGTCAACCTCTTGATCAGTCAGTTTTTCACCAAGATTGCGCATAACGTGACGTAACTCAGAGGCACTTATATATCCATTGCCATCCTTATCAAACACTTTAAAAGCTTCCCTAAGTTCATCTTCAGAATCAGTCTCCTTCATTTTTCGAGCCATCATTGTTAAAAATTCAGAAAAATCTATTGTCCCATTTCCTACAATATTCACGCCAAAATCATGTGTTTGAAAATGCAAAATGTAGAAAAGATATAGAATTTCATGACCATTACTATCCACTACAGTTACTTTTTTTCAAAACGAACAAAAGATAAGATCTAAATATAAAGGATAACATTTATTACCTAAAATATTAGCAACAGACCACAATTTAATTACATGTACCACCAATACCCCGAAATATGGTGATGGTTTAATCCTATGTGTGTGTGGTTGACAAATTTAGGTCCAAAGGAAATAGGGTATTGATTCAGGATTTTTCTTGCTACTGTTTGTTTTGAAAAGTTAATTATATAAGTGGTCATATAAGTTAGATATATATTAAAGTAAGTAAAACCTTTGGAATACATTGATAATGGTTAAACTAATGGTAAATATAATTCTGATCCGAGGCCTGGTGTTAAACAAGTTTTACGTGTGCACACACACATACCCCTCCCCCATTTGCCTATCCTATGTGTCATAAAAGTTAAATTATTAAATATACCCTGCGTTGTACTAAACGGATATTGGACTTTCAACCTCTTAAGGTAACAGTTCACAGAAATGTCCCCCTAGATAAGATGCATTTTTTCCTCCCGATTTCATCCCAAATGCTGAAAAGTTTGATCCGACTAAATGTGGCATTGAGCGGAAAACCGGACAGTAGATAAAACAATATTCATTTCAAATAATGCAACCTCAATTACCTTTAATGCCATATTTTCTCCAACTATTCAAAAAAAATTAAATAAAATTTTCGATTAATTATCAGTCTTGTATTAATTTGCCATACCCACTTTCTAAATAATGTATTTTCCTTAAATATCAATATTATCTATCTCTTGAGAGTGCTCGCGTCGATTGGTTAATGTATTGGTTCGATGCACACGGACATTTGTATTCTTGAATTTTTAGAGAGTTCTCTTGATATGATTAATGTGTTACTATTGTTAAGCTTTGTCCTTTTAACACGCAGATACTAGTACCACATCATACCATATCTCTTTATTTTTATATGTATAAATCAACGCCTCGTGTTCGTTTTGGCTGTACTCACTTATTTGGAGAGCATAAATATGAACATATTGGAAATGTTGGGTAAACATCAGTAAGACAGCAACTCAAAGACACAAACATTCAAAGATATATAAAGATTATAATGTCTTCAAACAGTAACCACATACCACAAAACCCAAAATATATCTCAAGTTCAGTGTAACAGCAATCCGACGAAACAATAACTCAAATATATCTACAGATCACACAGTCTTCAATCATAAACAAATGCCTACACAAATGTAAAGCTAAAAAATAAATCTTATCTACTGAATAAAACATTTAATTTAGTTAAAACACTTTCATAATAGACCACTTTGATTAAGTTTCTATTTTGTTGATTAGGTTCCTGTGACATGATTTTAATTTTACAATAGTTTATCAAATGTCAATGATGATTGTGTCATGGATAAAACATCTCTATAGAAACAATATAATTTATTCTGTTTCCGGATAAATCAAACCTACCGTCTGCATCCACCTCATTAATCATGTCTTGTAGTTCTGTTTCTGTAGGGTTTTGACCTAGTGACCTCATTACAGTTCCTAGTTCCTTCGTTGTAATACACCCATCACCGTCTTTATCAAACAAGCTAAACGCTTCCTTAAATTCTAGATAAAGGAAAATAGTTTTAAATGAACATGTTACTGTTGAGAAAAACAAAAAATAACTTCACCGTAATGTAGAAAGCTTAAATTCAACTATAAAAGAGCACTACTACGACAGATAGTATTATCATTTAAAAACTATGCCGGAAACATTCTATGCATTAAAATCTACTTCTTCTTGTTGAATGGTAAAATACATATGTGTCGAACTAATCTAGCCTCACTGTTGGGATCAGTAAACATTTAACACTTTAATGTAGTACATTTTCGTATCTAACCGACTTTCGTCTATGCTTCATCTACATATCGATTTGAATCAACTGTGTCCATCTTAGGTGTGAAAACACATCAAAGATATAATTGTCATGTTTTGAAACTGTGTAAGGCTGGTGCTTATGCCATTATAAGTCAATGATAGACAAATTTCAACGGACATTTCAAACCTATAGATATGATAGCTACCTGCAACCTGTTCTTCTGAGAGTTGTAATTCAGACTGAAAAATAAAACATATAAAGTGAGATAGCATATAGTGTATGATATATGCGGCAATTGACGAGATCCTATACAATATGTTTGCTCTGAATCGCTTTGGGTATAAATAAAAAAGACGACAAAACACAAACACAAACAAAAATTAAATAATGATATCCGCAGCAAAACTCTAAAGAAACCAACTTATTGTGAAATATAAGAATAAAATAAACATTTAGTCTTAATTCAAACTATAAAATGTATCTGAATAAATGCCATATGAAATTATCGATCAACAACAGTATTTTATCTTAACATTTATCAATAGGTTAATTTATTCGGACCTAGGCGAAATGTTTGAGGGACAATTTTCGGGTTCCATAATATATCCATAAATTGTGATTGTGCCTATAAAGTTTAATTGCTGACCAATTTATATCCTAGTTTTGAATGCTTTTCAGTCATGAAAATATCAACTTCATTGATATTTGAGACGTTACCCGGTACTGTCAAAAGGTCCACATCGAATCAATTCAACTGAGAAATGTACGATATAAGATGGATCAAACTGAACATTAACATTCACATTAATATCAAGGAAAGAAAGTTTATGTCGGTTGTTTTGTATGAACACCGTACGAACATATAAGATTAGGGGTTAAGGATATTCGCTCCTTTTGTTTTTGAATTATTGCCAGATATTCGGAATCCTCTGTTATTATCCATGTAGTGACATTAAAAAAAATTGCCAACTAACACCTACTTTTCTTTCCATAATTTGATTACATATAGTTTAAAATGTCATCTTTGAAAATCTTAAAAAATCCTTGTTATTTTTTCATCGTTTTTGAAAGAAAAAAGGTGCCAATGTTAAATGTATGAAAAATCTAGAGAGAATTATTTCCCGCCAAATTTTCAATGGCTTATATCTCGAAAACAAGCACACGGACCCTTCATTTTTTTCTTCTTTTTTTTCTTCTTTATTCATATACTATCAATTTATAACAGTCTTTTAAAAAGCTTGTTATTTTAAAACAGAGTAGCGAACATCCTTAACGATGTTCTGCGTTGGACCACATTGATTTAAATGTTATGTTCATGATGCTGAATTCATGTCAAAAACTCTGTGTTCTCAATATCAGGAGTATACATTCATGTGTTGACAAAACCATAGTAAAACTAGTTAAATCTCGAATAACTTTTATACCTTTCTACCCCAAAAAAATCAAATTAGATATAATTGTGTTATCAAATATACTACGAGAAGCAACATTTTGTAGTTATTCGTTAACAGTATTCGCGGCATACGTATAACCAACTCATGATATAACATTTCAAAAAGAAAAATACATATGGGAGCCTTCGATCTTATATATTAATTTATCATTTATGAATATACAATACTGAGTAATATTTTTAAACAATACTTTATCTAAAAAAAAAATAAAAAATGACATTTATTTTAATTGTTTTATGAAGCACCATCATCGAAAGACGATCTTACTTAAAAGGTGTGCTTGAATATCGAAATGCAGACTTTAGAAATTCTCTTTGGTTCTTGATTAATATGTGGTTCGTTTGATGTCATTATTCCATATCTTTCACACTTTAACAATTATGCTAATTTCCCTCTAGACTAGTAGGAGATATTACCAGGAATATAAAATCAATTTGTCCCATTTACTAGTGTATAATAATCTATATAAGATCAAAGACCAATAGGTTTGGGTATGTATAAGTTATGCATCTGGCGTCTCATCTGTCATATATGAGTCTCGCATTATCAATAACGATTAAAAAGATAGCTAATCGAGAGAATTCATATTCATTAAGACATTGACAGAAACCATGTTTGTAGACATGATGTATTGTTGTGTACAGACAATCTATTTTAGCAAAATGGTTATCATTCTACAAATAAGCCCGAGACGTGTAATCCAGTCTAGGACATATTTTTATAAGAGAAAATCATGCATTTAAAAAAAATGAAATACAAAATAAGAGGCGACAGTAGTTAACCAATGTTTAAAACTATTAAATCCGTTTGAATATACAGGTCAAGAGTAGAAAAAACCGTGAGGGAATGCTATGAAATCTAAACGGATGGAAACAAGGTGTGTTGACAAGGTGAGCTTCTCCTGCCATACAAGCACTGCCCGCCATAAGAACCCAGAATCAGTTAAAAAGTTGCATGACTTTTTAATATCATGGCTATCTACCAAATTATACCAAATAATAAGCCTGGTATCTTTGAAGAGTTAGTTTTTCGAAAGTGCGGGAAGTATGATGAGTGCATAATATATAATCAAAGTACTGAAGTACTGAACATCGGATGACCGCAAGTTCTTGTGGATGGTCAAAAGCACTTGTCCCAGAAAAAAATCACATCTCTATACCTGAAACTGAGGTTGATGTACAGAGATATATTTTTTTCTGAGACAAGTTCGTGCGTAGATGATGAATAAATGACAGGAAATTCAACCTCACCGTAATAACTATTATATTGTAGTGATACAAATCAGTATACACTGGTTTGTTGTTATATATTATATTAATATAACAGTTACTTATATATATAATTTTCATCCATTTGTATATCATTCTATTATACTATTCTAATAATAGTGCAGTGCAAGTGCATGGTGGACACTCTTCTGTAAAAATTCGATTTTTCTAAAAGATTGGATATGAGTAGGCATTCATATTTTCCCGCAAAAACAATTACAGAGTTACCGGTCCTTGCTGGGATTGTCGCAAAACGTTCTTGAGATATTCTTCCGCATGCTTTAACACAATTTTTCGGTACGTGTGCATAGATATTATCAATGATTTTTTACTTATATAATATATATCTAACGACAAAACATTTTCATATTATTAATTTATGTTCTAAACAAAAATATTTTTATCAGTATTCATTGAAGAGATGTATTTATAACAAACGATAAGGAATGTTAGTTTGCACTCGTTAATATCCGCGTATTTATCATGTTTATAGATCGGTTACAAACCCAAAACAAAAGTTACGTAATGGAAATCTAGGCGATAGCAATACATCGGAATGCCCTCACGGTCATCGCGATGTAATAATGTGTAAAATGATCATATCGTATCCAGGTAAAGTAGTCACAATCGTATATACGCTGTACTTCAATACATTTAGGAAAAAATAGGTTAGAAGCCAGTCCGTGCTCAAAGCAGGTATACGGAACAAAATTGGATCTATCTTTATGAAAATTTATATACATTTATATAGTCCATTCACAATTTGTCTAGCTTCGAGCCAGTTAATAGCATGTCATACAGCGTAGGCACTTGAAAGTGACTCTTAGATGTCTGTTTTTAGCTAACCTGTGCGATGGGATTACTGTCTCATAGACGTTTGGACAAAACGTTAAACATTCCTCTGTGTAATTGATAGGGAAATCATCAATGGGTATTATAAGGTTATTAGTTCTTTATTATTGCATCACTTGCTTCTAATGTATAAATATATAATGGACTGCTTTACTAATGAGACCACTTATATACAGCAATCATATTCTATCAGATACATAATTTTTGCCATTCATCGAATATTTCAATGCACATCGAAAACAGTCATATTTCATATACATATAGAAAACCGTAATTTACAGTCTATAAAAGAAAAACACTTTTTTATGTAGAAGAATATTTAAGCATTTTTAAAGAACACCTATTGTCAATTTTTTTATGCAAGTAAAGATATGCAGCAGACCTATATCTGTGGTTTGCTGTTGCTTAGATGTCATAAACATCACGGACAAAATCGAAGGAACCAAGTGACCCTTTCTAAGCATTGTACAAATAATTTTATATGTTGACACAATAAAATAGTTGTTCTTTCTATATATATTCCCCGTGACACAATATGATTTCATAGTAACATGGCATAAACCGTACCAATTATAGTATATTTTGTTATTTCAGTTTTGGAAAACATCATGGTTTATTTGGATATTAGCTGCAATTGGATGTTGAACTATCTTTCAGTAACATCGAATACTCTTATATCTTTATTCTTTTAGTTATATTGTCACGGTATACTCTTGCCTTTCATCTCATGCCAGTAATTCATAGTATTATCATCATTGCTCTACTTTTTACAGCAGAAGGTTAATAATATTTAATGTTTTGCACAGCATAAGGTTAATTATATCTAATGTTTTGTACAGCATAAGGTTTTTATAAGATATATTTGCCCTTAAGTGCCAGAATTAAATCCATCGTATTGACTAAATTATAGTTTTATGGACTGGTATGGCTGATAAAATCTAAACATAGAATCGAGACCAGAATGAAGAATAGTAATACAATGTTCAATGTTTGCTTTAGAACATGGATATGTCATGTTTCGTAGTCAAAATAACCGTTATTGTGTCTTTTTCAGTCCCATTTCATCAAAACAGTTACGATTAATCATTAACTAGAACGATGCATCTGAAAGTAATAAATTGAAAAGATCAATGTTTACACTAATCAATTTTATTGTAATGATAAGCATACAACGATCATACTTTATTACGCTTGGTTTAATGTTGTCCCAATGGAAAACGTTGAATGATCAATTTCTGAAGTAATTCGAGCATCACGTTTGTAATTTTCTTGAACCATATAGGCATGACGTTATCCCTAATTAATATTGATAAGTAAGACTAAATATTATCATCATTGTGTTAATGAATTGATGTTTTACCTAATTGAAATGTATACCGTGATGTTTTGTCCCATGTCGTTTTCAGGTGTCCTTTCAAGAGAAAAACCAACTAAAACAATAAATGAACAACACGTTCATGTATGACAGATGGCAATCTCCAATAAACACGGAATTATAGGTTCCAAAAGTATGATAAGGACTGGATCACAATTTTGAAAAGCTATTGTGCTTTATGTAGATGCGGTTTTTTGTTGTTGTTTTTTGTTGTAAATCGGGAAAGTTTACGGCCACACATACATTTCCTTAAAAAATTCTAAATTAAGAGAATTTTATTTTTGTGCTTGGTAATCAACAAAAATATATATAGGTCTGTTGTGTTATTTATAGTTGACTCCTGGTTTACAAATAAAATCCGTTTGTCTTCATTTCCAAATGACCGCCAAAATACGTAAACATTTAAGGTGCTCGGATTTTCCCCAAAATTCTCTTCAGGCTCCTGCAAATGTCAAGCGGTTGCTCTATTACGACGGATGAGGAGCAGTTTACATACTTACCTTAATTATTACCTGCGTCTTTCAAGTTTGGTTTGTCCAAGCTTATCTGCATACGTCCTTGTGATTACTTTGTTATTTCTTTATTTTAGCAAGATATTGTCCTATAGTATTAGGAATTTTCCAAATATTTTTTGTAAAACAATTTTGTTTGTTTGCCTTTGTTTTTAGTATTTACCTTTCTATATCTGCTGAGATGTCACGTGATTATATGATTTACATATTTTCTTCAATGTTTGTTACTGTTGCATTTTTATATTAACACCGCAATCAATAGTTATTTGAAAAAGAGCCATCCCAATCAACGTCAAAGTAGCCGTTTGATAGAGAGTAAAATACATTTGTATATTTATATATTGTGTTTTATTGATGAGGTAACTTGTTTTTCCCGTATTGTCAGGCTTTTATTGATCCCCAATCCTCTCGAGTGAGTACTTTCTAAGTGTAACATACGTTAATTACAATGAAACTGACACTAAAATTAATATTACCGAATACAATTTCATTATTAATGAAAACATCTGTTCTGCCATGGGACAAACTCGACTATCCCACCCATATGGAAATATGAAAAAGTCAGAATTATTAATATATACATCATATTTGCTGTCTGAGAAAATGCTGTATATATATATATATATATATATTCTACCACTGTATCGAGTGTGATACGATATTTATCCACTCGAGACAGTTAAATTTTAAAATTTAAAACGCGAGGCTCGCCGAGCGTTTTAAATATTTAAAATTTATCTGTTGAGAGAGGATAGATATCGGATTGCACGAGATATGGTGGTGGAATCAGTTTCTCTAATGATTTTTAGACGATATGCAGACAAATTTAATCCTTCGTTTCGAATGATCTGCAAAAATATGTGTTCTTTATATGCGACATCATCAGGCATGATCGCCTTTTTCATGACATCACAGTAGGAATTTCAGAGAAAAGCAAGAAAACTTGACCTCATTATAGAATTTTGGCCAATAAAGAACTGAGATCAAACACACTTAAGAACCACATTAACAAACGACAACCGCTGAAACAGGTTCCTGACGTAGGACAGGTGCAAACAAATGCAGCGGGTTTAAATGTATATATATATATAATTTGATTTTTAGTTTCACTTGTTGTTTTGTTTAGTTTCACATAGGGAGCTACCATTTGATTTTTTAGGGGGGGGTGTCTAGGATGAAAAATTTTGTCTTGCATTTTCTTTTTGTTGTAATCTCTGTCCTGCCTTTTTATTTTTCACTCTATTCGATCCTGCCTTTTTTTTTTATTAGTTGATTCCATAACAAGTTATGAATAATCTAAGGTTGACGAATTTACCCATATGTAGAAATGGTTGATTTTTTGCTATTGTAATTGTTAATAAGAAGAATAAAAATACTATTTTTTATGGTTTAATAGCAATGCCGTCAAATTTCTTTCTTTCCTATCTAAACTACAAATTCTTTTAACTGCAGAAATAGTAAATTCACTGTTTAATTATCAGCAACCCGTCAAATCAACCTTGTAAGATAAAGTATTGGATGCAATTATATGGAGCGGTTTTCTCAGATTTCATAACATTCTATGTACAAAATAGGTACCTTAAAGCGACGTGATGTTGAAAAAATTTCATGACTGACATGTAGACACAAACGGACAGACAGGACAAAATATTTGTAAAAATGTCAAAGTTAATGTTTTTTTGCAATTTTAGTTTTCAATCTGATAATAAATGAAATAAGAAAATCACAAAATATGACATGGGGTTAATAGAAATTCCTACAAGTTTCGTTCTTTTCAATTCAAAACTACGCTAGATTTTGTGTTGATAAACTCTCCCGAGTGCAGAAAAAATTAAAGTTATTGTTTTATTATCAGAAACCTATATATATATATTAAATATATAAAATAAAATGGTGGGTTCAATAGTATGAAAAGGTGTTTCCCAATTCTATGTTTTTCAACACACTTTGTTTTGACAAACGTTCATGACGGACAAGCGGACGCACAAGCGACGGAACAGGACTAAACATATGTCTTCATACCATTGAAAATATGAAGACGTTGCGTTCATGTATAGCGCTGCATGCACAATAAGCAACATGGAATAAGGTACAATACTTTGTATACAAATCGTTCAAGCAATTTACGTGACTTGATATCACCATTTACACAAACATTTTACTATAATGATACAAACAAGTCTAATTTCGAGAAAACTTCATAATAGATAATCATGGAAACAAGTAAGGAAATTGGATTTCAATTAACGCTAATCTAATTCGTTAAATTACAGATTTGTTTATCCAAATATATATGGATAATGTAAACATAAAACGCATATTGAATAATAAAATGACATGTTTTATCAGATACTTGAAAATAAAAATTTCCTGCCTGTACTCTGCAGAGGCATCGACAAAACATCCAAGTAAAAACCATTTATGAATTATATTGTTTCCCGCGCTTCTTATTGTAACATTTGACCATGATCATACTATACACATGTAAATAGAGATAAAATGTGTTAATAAGTTGATAAAAAGTATGGATAAGTTTGAACTTACCATTTTAACAGATCAAGTTCCTATCCGGATTAACAATAATGGGACGAGTTAATTCAGGATCGACAGTTATATATTAATGCGACACGTTTACCAACATTAATTATAGATGGCGCTTAGGGACAGTTTCAAAGACCACTCTCCGCTCTCTTACACAAACAGTTCACGCAAATATAATTTTCCATTAATACACCCGATGTTTCATCAAATATTAAAAAGTAATCTAAATTTACAACAGTTTTCATTGGAAACGACCATGTCGCAATGCGTATTTTGCAGTTCTTATTATCATAAACACGAGTTTTGAGATAATTATACAATTCAATATTTTGTAAAGGATTTTTGTCACTTGAGACTTTGATAAACAATACTTTAGTATTGGGAAAAAAATTTCGTTTGTGTTTTTTCTGTTGTATCAACTGCTCTATTTGTTTTGAAGCTTGTGACTAGTCGATAGACCAAGCAGGATAGGAAAATAGATGATTTATCATGTAGACTTTATTTCTGATAATTGACTGAAATTGATCAATTAGCCGGAAATTTATCAAACTAGATTTTATCGAAAAGCAAATACAGACGTTATTGATGTTCACAATATCTCAGAATCAAACATAATTACAAAGAAATAAATGAATATATGATCGCTAAAGTTTTAACCTTCGGATTTAAGAATTTGCTCGTTTAAAGTCAACGAGACCGCAACCCAACAATATTTCAAACCATACAGATATTTATAGATGAGTTGCATTATCGTGGTCAGTTCTCTACTTTTGTATATACAGAAACGGACTTTTAGAAAACACAACACTAAATTATTTTTTTATTTTCATTTCAAACGTGCAATATTTGTGAAATACACAGATTTATTACTTCAAAAAAAGGTTTGCAATTCAACGTTGAATTGATTACGACACGTTTGGTCGACCAGTCCTGTGGAGGATGTTTTCAGTTCAGTTTTGTCCCCGCTGATTTTTTCCCCTGTGTCGCCCTTTCAGTCTGTTTTGCGGTTTAACCTGTAAACTTTAAATGATTTTCTGCAGTGGATTCTGTGGAATTTCAGTATATGGAACACATTTTTGGCGTGAATCTGTCTGCCATTATACCCGGCGACTTGGTTAGAAATTGACGTTATAAATAGAATAATACATGGCAAAATCCGTATCACATGCTGTATCACCACGGGAAACCAATATCAGTCCCGTGGGCCGAAGGTCCCGATGGCTGATATTGGTCGAGTGTTGATACAGCATGCGATACGGATTTTACCATGTATTGATCTGTTTATCATATATTTTAACAAAATCAGATTCATATGTAAGTGGACAACCATTTATTCTGAGGTGGGGGCCTGGCAGATTTTAGAAATAAATATTAGGTGAAAATAAATAATCTTGCCTTATCACACATGAAAATATATATTCTGGTCCCAACTACATTTTTGTAATCATTTACAAAGGTATCAAATATTAGCAGAAAATCCAGAAAAAAGTATTGTCAGTGGTTGTTTATATTTAAAGGCATACGCAGTGAACGTCCCGTCCCCCTCCTTTTGGCCTGAATAAATATAATTTTGTTTTATGAAATATTCCAAAAAAAAAGATTAACTCTCTACGCTCGCCAGAATTGTTACCATTTTGGATAATAACACCCCTCTTTTCTTATACTCACCCTCGATTGTAATGGTATTTCCTTTTGCATATTTATAGAATATATATATTCGAGATAAGTTTTGACTGCTCTATTTCTTTGAAGTTGTATGTGTATCCTATAAAAATGTGATCTGTATCATAAAATATTTCTTTCTTTACTTATTTGAATTTTAGCTCATGTATAAACTTTATAACAACCAACCAAAACACTAGATACGTTCTATAATGCTTTAGGGTATACTGGTTGAAATATGTATCTAAATTTAATCTTTCTGATTACTTAAACAATTAAATCAGGATAAGGTCATAACTTTAATTGTTTTACAAAAAATATAGGAATGTTCGATTGAAGTATTATATAATCTGTACGAACTTTGTTATGTCCAAATAAATGGGCTTATCTAATTTTGAATGACTTAATATTCTTTACCAACCTTTAACAAAAACGGTTCAACTAAAACGACTCTCGGGAAGCGTTTAATGTAAGAACAAGATGACAAAGCGACTAACAGTGTTGCCACTGTTTGACCTGAGCAATATATTGATTTACTGAAAACAGAGATAACAAAATCTACCGACCGTGCGAGGGCTGTATAGCCAGTCAATGTCGTTAATAACCCCCATCATCATCAACAAAATCTAATGCTTCAATTCCTACTTTTCTATCGAAAATAAACACGTTTCAAAAAGGTTTGTTTTTAAGCTGCAACTGAACATCACGATGTATCTGTTTCTTATAATGTGCAAAAAGTGGGTTTGGTTTTGTATCTGTAAATATTCACCTACAACTATTTCAGTTCAACTGACTAGTGTTCCGAAAAGCACGAAGGAATTCATCATGTTTGTGAAAAATCTTTTGTCAAATAGCGTTATTTAATTATTTCTAGAGTGTTTAACATGTAACTCCTGTAAGAGTGAGTTTGACTTAATCGACAATTTTTATGACGACCACATTAGTTTATCAAATTGTCAGATTAAAATTTTTTGTAAAAATAGACAAAAGGACTGTGATATAAACAACCGTACGACCTTCAATAATGACCAAAAACATACCGTATATTCAGCCTTTAAAGCCCCGGTATGACAATATGTGACAGAATAGAAGTTCCCCTATAATATTTGTTCCAAAGAACTTTGAGCATATAACTAAAGTTCCATTGGGAACTTTCCTTATATAATATTTTATCCAATGCTATAAGAAAATTTCCTTCACAAAGGATAAAATATTACATAAGGAAAGTTCCCAATGGATATATTTTTAATCTATAATATGAAATTAAACAGACCTAGAAAAATCCAAATGCACGAGTCTGCTATCTATTTATATCTTTATTTATGTTTATATCGCTTATATGGCAATCGGAGGTCTTCGGGGGTCAACTCGACAGTTAATTAGATGGTGTCTAGACTAAAATACACACAAAACGAAGCTACATATTATCGAGCTCATGCCCGGAATATTGTTTATTTTAGACTTTTTATAATTTGGATAAATGTTTTACATTGTTATAAATCAAATATGAGAATTTGAGTCAAATCGGTGAACATGAATTTGACAGCTAGTGCCCCTTTAAAGGAACAAATATTATGAAACCATATGATGTTTTAGTTCCAGGAAAATATCTTATGAAGGTGGAAATAGTATTATGTAATGTTTGTTCCCAAGAACTTTTATTATCCATAGTTTTGTTCCAGGTGGAACAAGTATTATGCGGAACAAATATATGTTCAGGAAACAATTCATATTAGCGACAAATTTGATGAGAATTATACAATGCCTTCATATACATGTAAGAATTATTGGTTGTTTCAAAAATGGAAATAGCGATTGAGGGACTTCAAAGTTTATTTGCATCACTAGTGAAAAGTATATTTGTGTAAAGGATAGTAACAAGTAGCTAGTTAACACCTAGGACGAAAGATTGGTCTTTAATTGACAACGCATCTAAACAACAACTAACCACAACGTAATACATGAAACTCCGTCGGACCAATATTGAATAAAAAATTTCATCGACAGCGAACGATAACGCTGTTATATGATAATTGAATTGATCTTCTATGACAATGGAATAATTCAAGCAAATTCAGTAAAAAAATATTAATCCCACTTCTTTCATCATGAAATATGACTATTTGGGGTTTTTTTTATCGGTTGATAATGCAAACTTTGAAAGTAAATATAATACTTAAAATTTGCATGTTTGAGTTTAAATGCTTGAGTTTGAATGTATTTTTACTCAGTAATAATTTCTACCAATAAGTTATGTAACCGATTTGGTGGGAATCATATAAACGAGATCGACCACCTCATTGTCTACCCTTAAGGCCGTATTAGGAAATACATTACAAAAAAGCAGCATCTATTGTGTGTCTCTTTTTTAATCAAAGTGCATACTGCACTCACACACTTGCCTCGGAATCGTTATAACACAATTGAAAAATCCATTTAATCAAATATAAAAGTATTAAATTTTGTTTATAGACAGAAAAAAAACGAAGCCAATGCCCCCCCCTCCCCCAACCCCAATAAAAAAAGCAAAAACCAAAAACCAAAAAAAAAAAAAAAATACGTAATAAACAAGGTGATGTTTTGTTATCAATATGGTATTCAGTATGATATTCAGTTGTAAATGTTATTGATGAATGGCATTCCGGACAACTCCTGGACAAAAGATATGTCTCTAATAAATAACTGACAACGCTTCTAAATAACAACTAACCACAACGTACATATATGAATACCATCGGAACAATATTGAATCAAAAATTTCATCGATAACGCACAGCAACGCTCTTAAATGATAATTGAATTGTTATTTTACGACAATGGAATAAATCAAATTCAGTAAAAAAAATATTTCACCGCCTTCTTTCATAATTGATAATGACTATATATTTTTTATCGGTTGACTATGCAAACTTTGAAAATAACACAAATCTATTTGAGGCATGTAAAGATTAACGTGTTTGTAAATGTTTTGACTTAATGTGCAGCGTTTTTCACAAGATGACACAGTTTGATACTGGTATTTTTTCAGTTTATTTGTTTCTGCTTTAAGCAATAAAACATTACTCAAAAGGTACCAGATCGATTTCCTGTCTAGGATAATGAATGGATAGCCAGCAACATTAAAATGTAAAACAATTGAAACTGATTAACACGATCTCAAATCGATACAAATAATAACATTGCGGCAGTGTACCATTAAGATCACTTAACCAACTGGGACACTAATTCAAAAAGCCTTATTGTGTTCAAACTCTCATGTGTTATTTAAAACATATTTCCGTATTTTTGATACATGTAGTAAAAGTTGTCTATGTGTCATACAATGACATTTCTTTGAAATGAATTTTTAATGAAGCGAAATGTTAATCATAAACATTATACATGCATTTAGAATATTCTGACATAGTTGCATGATTATGTTGGATATTTTAGTCATGAATAATAAATATGTTCATATATCATTACATATGGTTTAGACATGTACGATATCGTTTATATTTGATCGATGAATACTCAACGAGAACATGATTGTAATCTTCCTTGAACATTCAGAAAAACTCCTTTTGCTTGAATAAAAATTCCACGTTATGTATATGTTCAATGCAATGTATATGTGACATCCGGGTTCTCAATTTTGTCAAAAGACACTATAACAATTCACTACTATTTGGTTACAGAGAGAGCTTGTGTTTAAAGAAAAGACAAGGCTACAAATTCGACAATCCACTACCGAGTTCTATTGTAACTTATAGAATGAACATTGGAAAAGAATAAGGCAATTAGTCAATACTGATTAATTAATCGCAAAAGTTTAATGTGTGATAAATGATTTCAATGTGGAGATGGTAGTCTCATTTTAAACAATTTATATTAAATACTGCAATCTTTGTATATCCGGCTACTGGTAAAAGTCTGTATAACCATATGATAAATCTATCTTTCTGCTTTCTCCTTTTGATTTATTAGGTCGGTACTCACTACTTCCCAAGTATAATCTTTACGAACTCTGAAATGAAAAATAAATAGATAATTAGAAAATAATAAACTTTGTCCACCATAATGATGAAACAATGTTAAAGTGTGTTGTACTGGATCGCTAACAGTACACACGATGCATGTTCATACATTTCATCGGGTACACTCCAGGACAAGTTTGGGAAGCAGAATACATGAAACATATAAGACCATAAAAACAAAATATTGCATATGTACTTATCCGGAACAGCCTTGTCTGAGGGTGATTCAAAATAATGTGTGATTCACAATTTGAATTTTACGATAATTGCAGGCACTATAATTTTCATTTGCAATGATTGGTAAATCGTCTAGGATCATTGTCAAACAAGGTTTGATTTGAGCTGTTAGTGGGAAGCAAACTACATGTACCATATGGATTCAAAAAGTAAGAACACACCAAGGATCAATGAAAACTCGAAGAAAGACAGACAGCACCACTGCAAACAAATATAAAAGTCATAATGACAACCAACAATAGTGCATACAATTAGTATGCAGATCAATTAAGAATTAGCAACACGATATACTAGGGAAAACCGTCCCATATTGAAATAAGATTAGTGATAATCCATGATCAGGATTCATACTACTGCGAACTAAGAAGCCATGATCAGGATTCATACCACTGCGCACTAAGACAATACCAAATCCACAAGCCATCGAATTATAATCATGCTATTATCTTGAATGACAGACTATGAAAATGTAAATGATAAAGATAAAAAGAACAATTTCTCAGGTCTTAAAATTTGTTTCTCTGCTTATACTTCAAATATATTTTTATTACAGTTGGTATAGTCTGCAGTATCCAGAGTGTTCTCTGATCACAGACTAAAATGAGCTTCTTGTGATAAACTGAACAAGGTGCTTACTGTGAACAAATTTAACTAGCTTTCCAGGCATGCACTACGATAAATAGAGTATCGATTGTAATCAAAATCAACTAGCTTTCCGGGCCTTAACTAAGGAAAACAGAGTGCTTATACATATACAAACTCAACCAGCTTTCCGGGCTTTAACTAAGGAAAACAGAGTGCTTACATATACAAACTCAACTAGCTTTCCGGGCTTTAACTAAGGAAAACATAGTACTTACCTATACAAACTCAACTAGCTTTTTGGGCTTTCACCAAGGAAAACAGAGTGATAACATAAACAAACTCAACTAGCTTTCCGGGCTTTAACTAAGGAAAACAGAGTGCTTACATATACAAACTCAACTAGCTTTCCGGGCTTTGAACAAGGAAAACAGAGTGCTAACATAAACAAACTCAACTAGCTATCCGAGCTATAACTAAGGAAAACAGAATGCTTGCTGTAAAATAATCTTCTGGCATAACTGCCAGATAATTGTAGATAAAGTAAGCAAGTTCACCCTACTGCAATATGTGTACATGATTGGTGTTAACTCGCACTATACCCATGGTAGGCTGTTTCTATACAATATCACTGAAGTATAGTCCATAATAATGTCGCAACATGTGTTGTTCAGTTATGACTTACTTTCATAATCGATTATATTTTCATCATCTGTCCTTGCATCACTAGCAACTGCAACCATTTCATTTATCTCTTCCTCTCTTAATCTCTCTCCATGATTTATCATAGCTTCTTTCAATGTACTTATACTAATTTTACCACTTCTTTCTATATCAAAAGTTCTGAATGCTTCTAAAAGATAGTCATCTGTTTCTGGTGCGTTTTCCTTTTGTTTCTTAGCTACTTCCATCAAAAGTTCAGCAAACTCTACTTTCATATCCTCTGAAATTAAACCAATTATACAAAACAATGTTGGTTATAAATTCCTACAACTTCTATTCACTTTTAGGATTTAATATGCTTGTGTGAATATTGTGACAGCACCAGAGATATCAACCAAGTTTTTATAAATTAATAGTATCAATTTTGATGCAAAGGTTCTTTAATGACGCTCCCATGTACAATTACCGGGTACAGTAAAAACAAATAGTTTTGCAAGCTAAATCTATGAAACATTCAAGATTTGAAAGCCAAAACCAAATACAACAGTTTGACCAAAAGAAACGGGTTTGAAGAAGAGGAAAACTTCGTAAAAGGTAGACATAAACACTCTCAAAAGGAAAACTAAGTAAAAATAAACATAAAAACCTCCCAAAACACTGACATTGACATTTTGGATTGTTATATTGTATTGTGAAGTAAAACACTGACATTGACATGTTTAATGGTTAAATTGTATATGAAGTAAATCACTGACATTGACATGTTTTATGGTTAAATTATATATGAAGTAAATCACTGACATTGACATTTTGGCTGGTAAAATTGTATACATAGTAAAACACTTACATTGACATTTTCGATTCTGACATTGTATATGAAATAAAACACTGACGTTGACATTTTAGATGGTTATATTGTATAAGTAGTAAAACTCTGACATTGACATTTTTGGATTCTGACATTGTATACGAAATAAAACACTTTTTGGAGATTCTAACATTGTACACAAAGTAAACACTGACATTGACATTTGTAGTGGTTAACGTTACATTGTATTTGAAGGAAGCGATCATTCTGTTACTGCATTACATTGTACTTACGGTTTTTATCATAGTGATGTACTAGCTCAGAGATTTCTTCATCAGTTGGGTTTAATCCTACTGACCGTAATACGGGACCTAATTCACTTGTAGATATACAGCCGTCGCAATCCTTGTCAAACAAACTAAATATTTCTCGAATTTCTAAAAGACAAAAATTCAAAATCCTGCATTCGCTTATATATGATTTGTTTTGGACTTTTATCACAAAACTAAAATATAAAATTCTCCACATCTACATTGATAATTAAACAAACATTCCAGCATATTTACAATTTCTTAGAAACTAACACAACAATTTGATACATTTAATTTACTCACACTAGTATTTAATTTCTATACAATCATAAATAGCGATCTCAAAATTTTTGAGTTAAAAAAGAATATTTTTACCATTCCGATCTAAATGTATGACATTATTTCCAATATCAATTGTAGATCAAATTGTGCATAATCAGATATGTTCACTCCTAATGCGAGAGAAAAAAGTTAAGAATGAAACAACGTTTATGTCATGAGTCTTTATTAAAATTAGTTTATGTCGGTCAAATGCATGAAAGTCTTAAGCAGACATCTATATATATATATGATGTTCAACAAACAAATCAAAGAATGAAAAACCTAATGCAGAAAAAGTCGTCTTATTCAATTGCAAGATACGTAAGCGTTCCCAGCTGTCTAAGAGTTTAAGCTTTAGAACTCTTAGTAATCATAATTAATACAAATCAACCATTTCCTAATTTTAAGTAGAAACTCATAGAAATGCACAAACTCCAAATGGACTCTGTCAAAAAGCTGTTTCGCATATTAAAGAAATATAGAAAAAAATAAGAAGTACCTGCAATTTGTTCTTCTGTAAAATTCTCAGCCTGCAAAGAGAGTGGTAGAATTTTTGACTTTGTACGTTCAAAGCTGCTTTGCATTGGTATACTGGAGCGTTTGAGGGTAGGTGAAGTCATTTTAGATCCTCAGAAAGTTTACATTTGGTTGCTGTCTCATTGATATATACCCATTTTTCATTTTATTCATATCAATGGTAGATATTGTAGACTTTAAATTGTAAGCACATTCTGGCACCCTAAAGCTTTCAAACATTTTTGAATATGTTTTAAACACTTTTTCATCCAAACATGTATAAGCCAACAATGTTTTATGAAAGGGAAAACCCTTAACATTATATAACTAAGGAATAAAAAATAAACACTAAAATTGTATGACATAATTGATATACAAAACCTATTGAAATAAAGAAAAATATTTTCATGTCCTACAGTCATGGGCTAAACAAAAAATACATAATATATATTGATAAAAAATTTATTGTCGATACTCACAGATTCTTTTACAATCAACGAACTTTTTAAAAATATAAACTTCAAATAAGTAATTCAAACATTTGTATACGTACCATAGTAGTTAATTACAATGTCATGTTTCGAAATATGTGTATTTTCGTGTGCTAAAACTAAGGACAAACATGTTCAAAACAATATGCACAAGGACAATAATGTAATTAGTATATACCTTTATGGTATTTTTAAATGGTTAAACCTATGGAATACACAATTAGTCCACTGGTGCATTGAAGTAAAACCAAATTGTCTTTGTCATTAGTCTGATCAATTATTCTTTTTACAACTTTGTTCTTCCGTCCGTAGGTAGATATTTTAAGATAATGCTGACTTATAAAACTTATAAACCAAATACTTTAATTTAATTATTAAGTAGCTGGTATCGCCCCTTGAACAAACATCACAAATGCATCAGCGTCTAAAGGTCCTTGCAGATCAAAACTAGAGTCCTTTACACATCTTCATGGCAACTTTAAAACAAACGTCGAAACAATAGAATAACTTTGTTATTTTAAATCTCTATGTAAAACAATATTACACATATAACCTTGTTCCTCTGAATAGAATACATGAAAATGATGCAGACCACCTTTCAATTTACTGAGTCTCATATTCATGCTATCTTGAGAGAAAAAGATTCCTGTGATGTTGTCATTCGATCATTTCAAAACAGTCATCTTTATTTTTTCTCATAAGGCAAAGTTTGTACATAAAAAAACATGGTTTATTCATTATCTAAAATTGGATTTGAACTAGTTTTCTGTAAATGTAAGTACTCTAAAATCGGGTCTTTGTGTTTTTGTTTGGTGGGTACCAATCTGATGAATCAAACTATTTCTAACTGTAACTGCGGGGACTCTAAAATCGGTATTTTGTGATTTTGTTTTGATAAGTGCCTTTTGATGAGTCAACCCTTTTCAAACTAATTTTTACAGTTTTTACTTATGTTGTGTTGTTACGCCACCATCCCAGGTTAGGAAACTTGAGCGCACGCAATCATGTTGAACCCCGCTTCATTCTGTATGAACCTGTCCAAGGTCGGGACCCGGAAATTCATTGTTTGTCTTTGTTGTCTGTCCACCATATTTGTTTTTCATTTATTGTATTAAACACAAATCAGGCCGTAGGTTTTCTCTTTGAATTGTTTCACATTTTATCCTACCGGGCCTGTTATAGCTCACTATACAGTATGTTTTTTCCTCATTGTTGAAGGTCATACGGTGACCTATAGTTGTTTACATTCTCGTCCCTTGGTATTTTGTTGATAGTTGTCTCACCGGAAATCATACCACATCTTCATTTATATCATAGTCATAGTAGTTGATCTTATCTTGCTTGCTGTTTCAAAGTTTTTCTTTCTTTTACATAAATATTTGAACAATTTTTATATTTTTTATGTATAATAGAAAAATAAAGGATATGGGGTATCCATCCATGACACAAAATCAGTACATGCACAACAAACAACACACAAAAAGCAAAGTAACAGCGCTTTTATTGCTGTTCTTCATCTCGTATGCCTTTATATAATATAAATATAAATGCTGATCTTTACTTTTCATCAAGCAACCATTATTACCAGAAAAAAAACATTTAGGCTTTGATTTGTCGTTTTTATTGAAATTATCAGATTTATTTTACCATACATGTGTTTACACTGTTTTTACTATTGTGGAATTTGATAAAAGTAATACTGTATTTGTTTGTTTTTTTTGATTGATTAAACATATCAAAACATATCAAAGCTGGTTTTTGTCTAACAAATAGCTTTGCTAACTGTTTTTGAAACAATCTAACCGAAAAACACAAGTGTGATGTGTGATGCAACTTATATTACTGAATAATAACTTTCAGAAATAAACTGAATATGGCAATCAAAACAAAGGGAAAAGTTAGATCAGTTTTATAGTGTTATCCTATTGTCAGTTCGAACCAACCTAAAGAGTTGACTTGGGTACCGAAATATGATCACCTGGACCTCTCTCATCCGTCAGTAAAATCCATGCGAAAGCGGCGTTCGTTTGGCCCTTCAGTATAAAAATACGCAGCCACTTCCGGTCGGAATAGGAAAGTTAAATCTGATTCCTCGTGTAAGAAGAGAGTGCCATATTCTTTGCACTTAAAATATTATTACAACAACCGTTTGGGGATCCAAAATGGCTGCTGCAAGGTTATATTTTTGTTGCAATCCAACAAACCCTTTTCGAGTGGTATTCAAAGTTTCCTATCCTTTATCCCCATCGACACTCTGTGTAGAACCTACCAATATCGTCAATGTGTTATTGTTTATTTTGTTCACATCCTGAATATGAATGTGGATGCTTTATCCGCTTTCCATGACAATGTGTTGATGTTCCAGCAGACAAAGACTAAAACAAGCTTAATTTATCAGCAAAAATCATTATTTGGAACATTAAGATGAATAATTCGGAAGTCAAAGCAAAAATGGAAATCCAACATGAACCACTACATCATTCACGAAAGAGGAGAATTAAGAAAAAAACATATACGTGCTTCTCGCCTTTGATATGTACATAAAAAAGGACATTGCAAATTTCCCGTCTTTTTACTAGATACTTAATCTTCACAAAAACCTAATACAGAAGGATATATAGTCGGGTAGTCGAGATTTCCGACTATACATCTTTCAATAGTTTTTCACCATTCTTTCTTCAAAAGATGGCCTTCAGAAATATTGTGATGAGATATAAACAACCAGCAGTGTCAATCAAATCACCATCGTATGGCGTTTGCATATTCCAAAACACACGATACTCTGGAACATTTTCGAGCTATACGGACTTCATTAGCAGGAATGTGCTCAATTCACCAAAACTACTCCAACAAAGGTATGAGGAAGAACGACGGAAATCGTCACAACATAAATTTTACGGTCACCATCACGAATTGGTTGACTGATGCGATATGTCTGTGTCTCACCTCACTAGCAACTTTTGTTCGCTGTCTTAAATCTTTAAATACAAGAATTGTCGTCTAATCTGTAATTTTACCGATTGTGAAATTCTGATGGAGTGTGGACTTGCATGGTGGTTGATGCATGCAAAGCATAAGACGTTTACCCTGTCGACGCAGTCGATCCTGCTCATTTTGGAGTTCAGTTCCCTCAGTTTTTGTGTATTACCTTCATTTGCATTCTTAGTCAATTTATGCAATTTACGCCATGTTAAAAATAAAACAGACATATTATTAACATACATTTAAATTATAATACACTACAATAATTGTCTAACAATTTATAAAGGTCAGCTAATGATATGTGGTATTGTACGATACTGACGATTTAGATTTTTGTTTAAATCACATAATACATGATAAAAAGAAAGAAGAAGACTAGATTTTTTCTTATATTGTATGTTGGATTGTGATTCTTGTATAAAATATTTTCAAATGAATTTCTTGGGGCTACAATTTGGGGAGATGGATATTGGAGAAAAAGGGCAAAACTTCTATTATCTTGGTAAGAATTGTAATAGGTATAGGAAAAGGAGAAAAGAATATTGACAAATGCAGAGTTCGGGAAATATATTCTCAAGTCAAGTGTCACAGTTACCCAATAAGATCTATAACTGGATGTCTGACGTTCCAATTTTTGACCTCACAAAAGGAAATGTTCTCCAGTCAAGTGTCACAGATTCCCAAATAGAGATAAGGTCTATTTGACATGTACTGAGTTTACATAATATACCTGTTCAGGTAGAATGTTGTTTTTCATTGTTCATATATGTACCATCGTAAGCTTTAACGAGTACTATAGTGATAACATGGAAATATTTAGTTCTGACACCCTGTGCTGCATTTGTAAAACGAAAAAAACTGACAACCCTCCTGTACCCACAAATAAATTTTGAGTTGTCAGCTATTGAACCTTACTGAAGGGTCCAATCACTTTTTTAGTTTCCCTAAAAATAAAATGCTGAATTAAATGAGATGTGAGAATAGAATACATGTCATCACCAAGTATTCTTTTCGCCACCTTCCAAATTAGTTTTGTCATTTATGAGAAATACTAATATACGGATTTTTATATTTTACCAAACAATATAGGTGTACACTTATTAGGAAGCAGTTCGTGGATTGTTGCATGAATTCTGTATTTAAAACAGTTAAGAGATCAAGTTGACTTTACACGTTGTTTATTCGAGAATGGGTATCCGACAAGACCAGCTACACGAACACCAGGAACTGAATACGGTTTAAGTTATACTTTTTTGTCAATGTTGTACAAAAACATTCAAAGGAGTTTTTACAACTTTTGTCACTTCCCGAGAAATATTATTGAGATATGAATTTTTCGAGTTTAAAAAAAGTCTTGTTTGCAACTATTGTTTTATTGTCATAGATCCAACAATTTATAAGGAAAATATTTACTTTGTCATAGATCTATTAATTAAACTCATCATACGTACCAGGATTAAAATTTTGTACGTCAGACGCACATTTGTCTACAAAAGACTCATTAGTGTCGCTCTAATAAAAAAAAACCAAGCAAAATACGAAGTTGAAAGGAATTGGATACACAATATTCCGAAAGGTTTAGCCAATTAAAGCCAAGGTATTCTATTCCTAGGGTAGAAAATCCTTCGTATTTCGACAAATTCAAGTTTTATATTACTACGAATATATTTACTTTGTCATTTATCTGTCGACATTATAGGAGTATTTCATTTTGTCATAGATCCATCAACTTACTAAAGCATATTGACTGCCATAGATTCAACAGGAACATTATATTTCATCTGAAAGTATTTCTGGATTTGATACGTTCCTAGAAATCGCATGACGGTTTCTCGATAGATAACAGGTTATTCAAACCCTGTCGATGTGCACCTGATCTACATCCCATTTAGAGTTCATGATACTCTGTTTTTGTCACTTGATTTAACTGGACATACAATATTTAACCTGTCAGCAGTACACTACATTTATTGTTATCAATGAAAATGTCATGAAAATCATAAACATTTTCATTAATCAATATTGTAAGATTTTGCATATCTATACAAGTACAGTCCCAATAAACTATTCATAAACCTTTTAACAATGAAACAATTGAGTAGTTGATAAAAAGCAATCTATAGACAAACATTGCCACATTAATTTGATGATCAGTTTCTTTTTTGCGTTGAATTCCAGTTGATTGGTCAATACTACCGCTTAGTCATCATAACTACAAATTCTACAATGAAAAGGTAAGTTTATTATTATGGTACCAAGGACAAATTTCCCTGTTAAAGGAACAAATACATATTAACACTAAATAGTTAATTATTTATATACACGTACTTAATGATTATACTTTATCTCTCTTGTATATTTTTTTTTCTAATAGGAAAACCGTTTATACTGATGAATTAAAAGTCGTGACTGTCAGATGACTTAAAACGAAGAAACACGAAAAACGATCAGTAACATTATAAACACAGGACTATTGTTCGTTATATTGATAGATTTCCACATTAACCATATAAGTTTGGTAAAAGCAATGGATCAAGCTATAATCAATTATGAAATTATGAGTTATGCGAGAGTATAATTTAATGAGAAAGAAAAAGCTTACATGGTATATATGACTATAATAATGTATCAATGGTGATGACACTTAGTATAGTAGGCTCATAACATACATGTAAAATTCAATTTGTTTTCACGTCAAGGAATCACGCCAAAGGAAATAAATACAAACCTGAATAATCTACTTGTCCATCTCCATTCATGTCGGCCTCTTTTATCATTTCTTCTACTTCCTCATCCGTCAATTTTTCTCCTAAGTTTGCCATTACCAGTCTTAGTTCTTGTGCACTTATAAACCCAATATTGTCTCTGTCAAATACTTTGAACGCCTCTTTCATTTCCTCCTCTGTGTCCGTATCTTTCATTTTCTTCGCCATCATTTGTAAAAATTCTTCGAAATCAATTTGTCCATTTCCTTAAAGATACCAGTCATAAAACTAAGATGTATATAACAACAATTTTATGTTTGTTGTAAGTAAAGAAGCATTGTAAAACTTTTTACAAATACTTACTCAAAACAGATGGCTATAATTATCTGCATATATTTTATATATGAACGATGAAGAATAAAGGCAATAGTAGTATACCCTGTTCAAAAGTCAGAAAACAAATCCAGGTTACAAACTAAAACCGAGGGAAACACATCAACTATCCGAGGAAAACAACAGAACAACAGAAACACTGTACTGCAACAAAAACAAACGCCAACATTCAATTACACGGACTGTTTGATAACAACTGCCATATTCCTGACTTGGCACAGGACATTTTAAGAAAAAAACGGTGGGTTGAACCTGGTTTTAAGAAGGAAAGATAAATTACAATAGCAGATAAATCTGGCCCACAATTCAACTTTATATGTCTTTGTCATCGAGGAAGAACGACTGTATCGACACTTTGCGGTCACCATCACAAATTGGTTGACCAATAAGATATATATGTGTTCAACTCACTAGCGACAAGTTTTCAAGTCGTAGAGATATATATCGTTAGATACTAGAACAGTCGCCTTATCCGATATTTCACCGATTTGGACATTTTGAGTGAGTTTGAATGGCTGGTCGACGCACCCGGTCTTGCTCCTTCTTGAGATCTTGTTGGGACATTTTGATTGAGTTTGAATGGCTGGTCGACGCACCCGGTCTTGTTCCTCCTTGAGATCTTGTTGGGACATTTTGAGTGAGTTTGAATGGCTGGTCGACGCACCCGGTCTTGCTCCTGCTTGAGATCTTGTTGGGACATTTTGAGTGAGTTTGGATGGCTGGTCGACGCACCCGGTCTTGCTCTTCCATGAGATATTGTTGGGACATTTTGAGTGAGTTTGAAAGGCTGGTCGACGCACCCGGTCTTGCTCCTCCTTGAGATCTTGTGATTCCCCAGTTTTTGTTTGTTACCATGATTTGTCTTCTTAATCGATAAATGAGACTTGAACAACTGTTAACTTCTGTTGGTTAATTGCTTTCCTTCGTTTAGTTTTGGGCTTTCATGACACAGTTTCAAATGTAAACGATACCAGCAGTCGACATTTAGTAAAATAACTATGTCTACTAGACGAAATTAATTGTTGCAATTTTTATAATCCTTTTATCGAAGCGGTATCTCAATTAAAAAACATTCTTATTTTAATTTTTACTAGATTTCATCGATTCATAAGCAGTTCATCTGATGTTGCAAGAAAAAGAAAGCACCATGTTTAAATGCTGTATTTGTAGCTATTATTTAAATTCTTTTATCGTGTATTGTTATTTATCCTTTTCTTTTTATCTTCTTGACAGGATCATGCCTGACAATTTTATGTATAAAAAATTTAATTCCGACCTGGAAACTCAAAAGTTCTCTTTAAACATTCTGAAGCAAATGATAGCAACGGGATTATTCATGTTTTGTGTTGAAATAGTCTGAATGAAGAATATTATTTGAATGACTCTCCTGCTTTGCCAAGTATTGTTTAAGTGTTTGGATTTTAAGGAGAAACTCTCTTTAGGTTTTCCATAATAATTGAATTAATCCTTCAAAAGTATTCAATTGTGAAATGTTAAAAGGAAAAATACTCGTCATCCTTTGTCTTGATATTTAAAGTATGAATCTGAATACAAATATGTTTGTTGTTGAACAAATAATATAAACAAACCCTGTAATATATATTGAATGTTCTTGGTTTATAAGGATGTCAGGACAAAAGATCATTTTATTGTACCATTAAGGAGGGAAAACAAAATCTAATGCTTTTACAAACATCATTCAATTAAAAATTATAATTATACAGAATACTGTTTTCACCCAAATAGTTTAAACAATAGTATCTGTCAAAGTGACAGAAAACTTAAACAAAATTTTACAAAATATTTACTTTACTTGCGAATCATTAATGTTCGGGAAATATGAGGTTAATATTTGATATTCTGTTGTAAACGGGATAAGTTTATGTCTTTGATCAAAACCTTCGCTACATAATCATCATGAATTAAACGCTACAATATATATAAACAAGCTTAATAAACAGGTGTGTATTCAACATACTTTGAACTTAAGTGACCAATCTATACGTGTTATTTTACTTATAGCACTTTGTAGTCATTCGGCACTGACATGATTTATAAGAAAACCTTTCTTAAATTGTCAATTCTAAATCATGAAATCACTAAGAAACGCAGGTTTCAACTCTTTTTGGCAAAGTTAACCTTATATAGATTTAGCTATTATTTTTAGGTAACCTTTAGTCATATAGCTCTTCACAGATTTCAGGTCTTGTACATCTTCGGCATTCAGATATTTGGCTTTAAGCGTTCATGATGAAGGTTAATCCAGAAAAGCACACAAATTTTAAATTTTCATTTTTTGTAAATGCAAAATATTTTTATTGTGAGTAGAAAAAGGAAAGAAAGTAAACAGATGCCATGGAGACGATAAAAAAAGCATATATTGAAGGCAATAAGAATCATGACCTAACCTAAAAGATAATAAGACAAACATTAGTCTACAACAACAAAATAAAACTTAATATGGAACATCACAGTTCCCACAAAAAATCTGGATTGAAATCCGGTGCTCCGGATGGCTTAGCAGTTTCTACTCCACTAGTGACACCCGATGTGTTATTCATTTTAGAATCTGATGTCATCCGGTGTTTGGCGGGGTTCGTGTGGCTGAAGCTTGGCTGTGTTTTGTGAACTGTTGCTAGTATTTTTGTTGTTTTCTTTTTGTCCGTGTGTTGTCTGTTTTTCTTCGAGTTTTTGACTGATTGGCCCCTTTGCATTTTCTCCCCCTCCCTTTTTATGCTGTCGTTTCGGTTATTTCATAACGGATTTATAAATGTCTCTTGACACTAGGAAATAATCAAATTCATAAACTATCAGTATATTTAAATTATCTAACTAAAAAACCTGATGGAATGTGAAAGTTAGAAACAGAAAAATCGACTGACAAATGATATAAAAGACCATCTGCTTGAGAAACAACATGGAGATTAAAAAAGTAAAATATCACAAAGCACAACACAGAAAACAAAAGCATATGCAACACAAACCCCACTATAGTGAAATCATGTGCAGTTTCTGCTCCATTGATGTCACCTGTCGTGTTGCTCACCTCAAGTGAAACCTTAATAATTGGTCCCATCCGGTGATGTTCTTAAACGAAATAAAGGAGTCGAGAGTATTCGTTGAAGCGACAAATGGAACATACCCGTTGTCATCGATTAACAGATATCTCTTTGTGTCTATTAGGTCATGATGGCGCCCGTAAAACTTTTAAAGTAATGAATTAAATTTTACCATTTATACCATTGATTAAGCTGCTTCCTTGTGAGAAGTTAACATTCATCAAACAAATTCTTTAAGCAAAGTAAGTAAAAGCTCTGGTAGGTATTTTCAAGATGGAGAGATATATTCCACATGTAGTTGTTATTGTGTTGCTATGAGCAACACGACGGGTGTCACATGTTGACCAGGATTTGATCTGTAGTTAGGTGTTAGATTTAAATGAACGCAATTTGTGTAAACCTTGAAACTAATATAGTAAGATATTCCGCTACCACACAATATTTTGAACATTTACTAAATCTTTCATGCGTCTATGCTTCAACTCAATAGCAACATGTTTTCGCGGGTTTTAATATTTATATACAAGAAACTTCAATGTAGTCTAATCTGTAAATTTACGGATTGTTTTCTTATCTCGATTGTGACAGTTTGACTGAGTGTGGATTCTCCTGGTGGCTGATGCATGCATAGCAGCAGATGATTACATTGTTGACTCTCCCGTCCTCGCTCTTTGTTAATTCCTAAATTTTGTTTTACTTTATTTTTTATCTTTTCAATGGATCCATGGACATGACCATCTATAAACTACTGTTGTTTATGATTAAATACAAAGCAAAAGATGTATTGCTTGTCAGTCATCAACACTAACGGTCCTACATCCGCCGATACTAACATCCTAGTATTTTACAAGGTCATGACTGTTTACCGGTATGACGGTTTTACACTGAATCCTTTTGAGGTGTAACGATTGATATTTTAGTCTTGAAAAACGTGGTTTATTCATTTGTTGAAATTGTGCTTTAAACTAGTACTCAGTATCTGCAAGTACTCTTAGATAGGTAATTTGAGTCTTTGGTCTTTTTGTTAATTGTTTACTGTAGAAAGTATCGATTTGACGAGTCAAACCCTTTCAAACTGGTTTTTATAGTTTGTTATAATGTTGTGATGTTACACCACCGTCCTGAGCAAGGTAATGATTTAGTGCTTACAAACGTGTTATTCAGAAAAACGAGCTGAGAAGCAAAGGTTTGCAACATATCACCAGCACCAAAGAATCATCAGCAGCATGTACTTGTCATAAACTATACAGAATTTAATGGCTACCTGAAAAAATTGTATTGGGTTTTGTCGGCGCCTCACTAAATATTTCTTCTATGGACCCCATATCTTCCAATTTACCATTGTTAGCTACTTCATAACTTCTGTTATATTAATTGTATATATCAGTAATGAATAAGTGATATATCTGTTGTATGCGGAGTTTTTATGTGTAGTAACAGGTCTAACGTAATGATGATTTGTGGTGCACAATGTGATAGTTGTATTGAATTACACGAAAGTTAACAGAAATCGATGCCTAATAGTTTCACTTGCACGGTTAACAGACAGCTTTATATTAGATTTTAACTATGTTTATTATAGATATCTTACCATCTATATCAACCTCATTTATCATATCTTGTAATTCAGATTCTGTTGGGTTTTGTCCTAGAGATCGCATAACTGTTCCTAACTCCTTTGTAGTAATCGTTCCATCTCCGTCTTTGTCGAACAAACTAAATGCTTCTTTAAATTCTATGAAGATAGTTAAAAGGACTTTATGTTTACACATATTTCAGCTATACATTTTACCTAAGGATTCAATACTACACATTACATGTCAATTAGATGAGTACTGCTGGATCCTTACATTAAGCAAAAAATCAATCAATTTTTTAACATACATTTTTCATAATGAACGATTTCCTTTAAACTCATTTTCAATTTTTATACATGCATAATGCGTTATAATTCAAGTATTTTAACTGTAAAGAATAATTAACGGAGAAGGTATGATAAGGCCACTTTAGATCCTTGAATTCGAAAATCAAAAAGTATTATAAATCTCCCAATTAGCATTCTTCAAATATTCATAAACCATTTGTCTGTCGGACATCAGTACTCCTGTCTTTTTTTATTTGTCTTACATATTGGCATACGGACTTCAAACTTCTTACATTTAGTGGAATTGGGAAAAGATTATGTGCTTAAAAATTGTATTTACAACAATGTACATGTGTGTAAAATATCTTTTTGAGTAAAAAAATTCAGGTCAGATACGTAAATTTCGACATGTTTATGACGTCATATTGATATCAAAAGTGACCTTGCTGCACAACAGTGTCCAGATTATAATTTCTGTTCATTTATCAATCAAATTAACATAATGCTGGTAGGCTAGAATAAGTTTTTTTTTTGAAATTTCAGTTTCCAAACAATGGCTTTCATCATACCTCTTTCTTTCTTGGTTTTATACACTCATTTTGGAAACGATATTAACAATTATCAATTATGCAGTGAGATATACTAGTATGCTATACCTTGTAAAATAGAAGGGTATTTAAGGTTATTCATAAAATGGTTCAACAGTTTAAACTACTTTCTTTAAAATATTAGTAAGATGCACATATTATTTGTAAGTTCCGTCGTTTTCCGTTTTTTTGCCATGACGTTGTAAGTTTGTTTTCTATTTATGAGTTTGAATGTCCCTTTTGTTCGCTTCTCTTTTGATAAATCGTGTCACATTAACCTCACTAGTTTACATTGTCATTAACCTTTAAAACATGTCAAATAAGCAAATAGAAATAGCAAATTTAAAAGATTTCCCACTAAATTATTGTAATGTTGTTATCAAGGATCATCAATGTTGATGTTTAGTACATGTAAACAAAGAACTGTTTCCAAACAAGAACTTTAGGTAGTCAGTGTAGTTTGAATAAATCTTTAGAAATGTCAAAAACATTATATATATATATAAATGGATGCACACAAGACTTCAATTTTCCAAAATGTATGATATATCAAAGTAGCACGAACAATATTTAGCCAAGTACGTGTAACCCGATCACATATAGATATACATATTGAGGATCAACATTCTATATATGTTGCTTTTTCTCCTTTTAAGAACACAATTTATCAAATATTAAGATATATACTTGATACAAATATTAATCGATCTTTTCATTATGTAAACGTTAACTTGCAAGGATAAAGTTAACGGATGATAAAATGTAGGGGTCAAATGGCATTCTGTTACTCTCTTTCAAATATTCTGCTTTGAGCCCTCTCTCTCTCTCTCTCTCTCTCTCTCTCTCTCTCTCTCTCTCTCTCTCTCTCTCTCTCCTGTTCAAAGGAAAAGTATTACATTAAGTTTTTTTATAGTATTAAATAATGCACCAATATGTGTATCTGTTAAAGCATATCAACAGAACTTTAATCTCCTTACACAGAATGCAAGGTCACTTGTGACACTATGAAAGCAAGTGCATTTAACAGCTTAAGTGATAAGCTTCTTACATGGGATGTATATCTTAAACAGTTTTCGGCGGCTTATCCTCCACCCACTTGAACGTCTTTACCCTAGACTTATATGTACAGAAAGACTAGTTAATTTTAATATACATTACCTGCAATTTGATCCTCTGAGAGATCCTCCTACAATTAGAACCAAAGAATAAGAATCATTATTATAGCAATTAAAAGATTAAAAAAATACCGATGATAATACAAATCGATACATGTTTATTTCACATGTAAGGAACTTTTAGGTGTATAGGTGAAATACAAAAGAATACAAAATTAAATGGAACTTGTTTGAGGTAAAATGAAATGCATGGCGTTTGTATATAAATTATTTATATAAGATTAAAAGCAAAAGGACAGCAAAAAAAAAAAAAAAACCAGCGGTAGATAAGTTATCTATTATACTAGACCTAAATCAAAAGGACAGCAACATATGACCAGTAACATGAACATTGTATGAGTACAAGACTTAAAGTAATCTTATTTGAGGGTATATGTTATAGTGGTGTTTTCTGTGACACAAACGTTTAGTTAGTTTTTTGTTTTAAATATTTCAAATTGTAACCTAATAATAACTTACCATGTTGACATGTAGTTAATTAATCCTTATAACGTTTACATGTACATTTGTTTAAAATGCAGGGATAACAAATAAACCTAAACTGTTTTTCCTATTTCGTTTCGAATTTCCAATTCACTTATCGATATATAGAACTAAATATTAACAAATATTTGTATTTATGTCTTCATTAGTAGCTGTTCAACTTAAATCGAGCTTTGAAATTTAAAACTATGAAACAATACGTAAATCCGTTTTTTGGCTGCGACATGCATTTTATTTCATATGCTGACTATCTGACCATTGATAAATATATTTTCAAAAGAACTTATCTGCCGATATTAACGCATGGTCAGTTGTTTTTAAATGTAGGTATCTAAATATTTGTTTTAGGTAAATCTACTGTATGTTAAACAAAAATATAATATATTATCAACCTATAGATATGGTTTAACTAATGTACTGAAAAGTACGTTCATACTGTACACATGTAATTTCAAAAATAGTCTGAGAAAGTATAACAAAGCATATAAATCAAAACTCATCAGTTTATTATCATGCTCGAAAAAAAATATAAAAAGAAAAAATATGTATGTGATTGAGCAACATTCATGTAATCCAACTAAGACCGTGAAAGAGGTCAGCTGATTCAAAGCTTGAACTACACTGGCCGAAAAAGTTCATGATAGTACAGTTTTTCGTGGTGTTGTTTTTCAGCATCTGGTATGCTTAAGACTGCCCAAAATGATTTATGCCAAAAAGCAATTAAAGCATTTTATAAACTAAAAGGTGTTTTTGGTAGTATCATGCCACACACTGATACAAATCTTCATATTTTTGTTCACACAATAAAGCCTATTTTACTTTGTGGTTTTGGAATGTTGGTAACTTTTAATTTTAAGACACAAAATATCGATTTTGAACAAAAGCAAAAGTATAGAGTCTTGTGTGTTTTTCTAATTTTGGTTCATTTGTATACATGTATTTTGGAGTTTGGCGTGGTGTCCGTTTCGCTAAACTAGTCTGCATTTTTGTTTAGGGGCCAGCAATAGACCGCCTCCATTTGCGGGATTTTCTCTCTGCTTTGAAGACCCATTGGTAGCCTTGGGCTGTTTTCTCCATTCTAAATTTCCTTGTTAAAATTTATGTCTGAAATTTAATAAGTATATACTCTGCGTTCATAGTAGATCAACTACTTTAGTAGTTTACGGGGAACATGGTCGTACTCCACTACATATTGATATTATTTGTTCAGTTGTTAAATATTTCTGTAGAATTAAAGACATTAATGCGTATCTTTTGTTAAGCCAAACTCTTACAGATAGCATTTATATGTACCAGAATATTATACAAACAAGGTATTCTTCTATTGTTTTTATTCTAAAACAGCTGAATATGGATATTAACAATCTCAATGTCAATGAGATTAAAGATGTTTTAATTAAAAGATATATGCTATTTTGGAAAGATAATCTTTTACAGAATGCTACAGTTAAAAAGGGTAAATTACAAACTTATTTCAAATTTAAGGATATTTTCAATAGAGAGACTTATCTAAATATGACAAAGAATTTTGAAATGAGAAAGCACCTCACACAAATGAGAATAAGTGCTCATAGATTAGCTATTAAGCAGGGTTGTTATAGAAAGATTGACAAAGATGAAATAATTTGTAAATTTTCTTCTTAAACTCAATTGAAGATGAAATTCATTTTCTGATGGAATGTTCACTTCGAACAACAACGACAAGTTATGTTAGATTGTGCTTTAAAAAATGTAATAATTTCTAAAATGTAAATACAGAAAACCGATTTATTTGGCTTCTTTCTTGTGAACATGAAGAAATCTGCAGCACTGCGGCTTTGTTATAAATGTTTTACAATAGGAAAACCACTGCTATTGTTTTAAACCATATTATCATAAGCGTTCACAACTTTAGTTCATTTATATGTTTTGGAGTTTAGTGTGACGTCCATTTTCACTGAACTAGTACACACTTTTATTTAGGGGCCAGCTGAGGACCACCTCCGGGTGCGGGATTTTCTCGCTGCGTTGAAGAGCCATTGGTGGCCTTCGGCTGTTGTCTGCTCTTTGGTCGGGTTGTTGTCTCTTTGACATATTCCTCATTTCCATTCTCAATTTTACATTATTGTTACTTTGCTTACGTCTATTTGTAATAATTATATGTAACATGCTCTTTATGGACCGATAATTGCTTTAATGAATAGAATTGAAAATGGAAACGGGGAAGGTGTCAAAGAGACAACAACCCGACCAGCAGAGCAGAAAACTGCCCAAGGGCACCAATGGGTCTTCAACGCAGCGAGAAAATTTAGCATCTGGAGGTGGGATTCAGCTGGCCACTTTACAATAATGTATATCGTATTTGTATTCGTATTCATCTCTTTAAATAAATGGAAGAAATAATAACAGTAAAGCTTCAGACTTCACCCCGACGATAAAGTATCTGGCTGAGAAAAATTACAAACCATATGTACTAGGACTGTTGGAGACAAAAACCATTCAATACAGTCAGTATAGGTTTTTCACGATAAAATGTAAATAATGTTTAGTTGTCTAATACTCAAAGCGTGTACGTTATACGTACATTCAGTGTAAGTGTATCCACGCTTCACTGGCAAAAGCTGTAACATAGTATCAATTTTAAGACCAAAATTTTGATGACATTTGCCATTATTATTGTCTAAGTCATCACAATCTACAGACATTGACTCTAGACAATTATATTTTTGAGCAAGTAAAAGACCGTACTTAGAACAAAACTTTTGGATGACCTTAAATGGAGGAGCAACACCAACAAATAACCAGAAAAGCTAGTTGTACTTTAAGTTTCATTGGGAAAAAATCTTGCGCATATGCCCACAAGAGTGTAATAAACTTGCTAACATAACCATGGTCAGATCAGTCTTGGGGTACGAAAATGAAATCTAGGATCAATACACATCCAAAGATATTTAAAAAAATCACTCAAAAGCTACCACGTTTATCAAATGTGACCACATATCTAGAGACTAGCAGATTGCGTCACGACCATGCTAAAATTGTTTAAATGATTAAAGTTAGAACCCTTTCAAGAACGTAGGAAACAACAACGCCTAGTCATGTTTCATGAAGTTGTTGAAAGACTGGTTCCAGCTATATCCCCGGGCTACTTCACCAAACGAGTTAGAGAATTTTAGTGATTATATTAGCATAAACATTGAAGAACGACAAGAAACAAAAAATTAGAAATTATACCAAAGTATTCAGTGTTACATCGTAATAAAGAAACACTCGTTCTTTGCCAGGACAATAGTAGACTGGAATCACTTTGAAGATTAGTACAACGTGCAGAAAGACATAATTTGTGTGTTTTTTGCTGTGCATGTACTGATTTTTGTGTCAGGGATGGATACCCCATACCCTTTGTTTTCTATTAGAAAGATGATTTAGTGACATTCCCCAAAAGTTTAACTAAGATCCATTGGAAAGAGTACAACAGAAACTAGATAAACCCCTGCTTTCTTGTAACACAAGCTAGTGAAACAATATATGTATTGTGCATATATATACGATAAACCTTTTATATTAGTGGAGCCATATTTACGTCATATCATTAAGACATCACCGGAATTGAAGTCACTGATGACGTCAATAATTGTAAATGAAAAGAACAACTTTATAAATGTCGAACAAAATCCAAAAGAATATAAAATTATCCGCAGGTTAACATACGTTCTTCAATAACTTACTGTTCAAGTAACCTGAAATAAATGTGCTTTTCTGACTGGAAGTTATGATACCGACTAGAAGGAACTGTGCATGTTGCACTATATGTCATGTGACCGAAAGAGACTTTTGAAGGCAACCATCTTGAAAAACCATTTTGTACAAGCGTTCAAACTATGACAAATGAAAGTTTGTTTGAATCAATCTATTACAATATGATTAAGGTTGAAAGCAATGTGATGCTTGGTCAGATACATTTTCATGGTCTATAACAATATGCTTTAGGTTGAAGGCAATGGGATGCTTGGTCAGATACATTTTCATGGTCTATTACAATATGCTTTAGGTTGAAGGCAATGGGATGCTTGGTCAGATACATTTCATAGTCTATTACAATATGCTTTAAGTTGAAGGCAATATGATGCTTGGTCAGATGCATTTTCATAGTCTATTACAATATGCTTTAGGTTGAAGGCAATGTGATGTTTTTTCAGATACATTTTCATAGTCTATTACAATATGCTTTAGGTTGGAGACAATGTAATGCTTTGTCAGATACATTTCATAGTCTATTACAATATGCTTTAAGTTGAAGACAATGTCATGCTTTGTCAGATACATTTCATAGTCTATTACAATATGCTTTAGGTTGAAGACAATGTCATGCTTTATAGTCTATTAATAAGGGCAACCGTAGTATACCGGTGTTCAAAAGTCATAAATCGATTTAGAGAAAACAAATCCGGGTTACAAACCAAAATCGAGGGAAACACATCAACTATAAGAGGAAAACAAAGGAACAACAGGAACACCGAAGTGCAACACACATAGAAACGAACTATTT